TGACAAAATGGAGAGGGTCGTAACACGTAAACTAATTGAGAAGACAATGATGCTGGCATGGTTTGAACTGAACAAGGAGTGTGAATTTGCTAGAACGCTTACCTATGTTCAGATTCCAAATTATTTTACCTACGTAAAAAGTGAAAAACGCTGGAAACGTAGAAAGAGAGGATTCAGCATTGGAAGAATCAATTACGCACCAAGGAAGATTGAAGATGCTTACTATTTGAGAATGCTGTTAAACGTCGTGAGAGGTCCAAGATCGTTTGAGGAGATAAAGACCTATAATGGTGTGTTGTACCCTGAATTTAAAGATGCCTGTTACGCTAGGGGCCTGCTAGAGGATGACCAAGAGTATATCGATGATATTTGCAGAAGAAGCTTCACATGTCCTCCATCACAACTTCGCCAGTTGTTTGTCATCATGCTTACTTCAGATAGTCTGATTTCGCCAGATGTAGTTTGGTATGCGTGTTGGGAGTTTCTTTCTGACGACATGGAGATGATTAGAAGAAGAGATCTTAATAGACCAGGTACAATATCTTCTGGCTTTATTTCCTTAATTTTTTTTAAAAAAAAAGGAATCTATTTACTAAATAGTATTGTCAACGAATTTCAGCACTTACGCTAAGTGACGAAGACAAAAGGGAATATGCTCTCCAGGAGATTGTAAAGTTAGTAAAAAGGAATGGCGCTGACTGGACGAGGTTTAAAAGTATGCCTCAACCACGGGGAGTTACTTATTCAGCTACCGATAATGTTCTAATTTTTGATGAAAAGAGTTATGAAAAAGAGGAGCAGAAAACAAACCACGACAGAGACTTTGCTAAGCTTACTCCTGAACAGAAGAAAGTGTATGAGGAAATAATTGGTTCTGTTTTAGCGAGAAAAGGAGGAGTGTTCTTTGTATATGGCTTTGGTGGAACTGGAAAAACATTTTTGTGGAGGATTTTGTCTTCTGCAATTAGATACAGGGAAGAGATCGTTTTAAATGTAGCTTCAAGTGGTATAGCATCACTACTGTTACAAGGAGGCCGCACGGCTCATTCCAGGTTTGGGATACCTCTGAATCCAGATGAGTTTACTACATGTGTTATGAGCAAAGGTTCTGATCTAGCAAATTTGGTCAAAGAGTCGTCTCTTATTATATGGGACGAGGCTCCTATGATGAGTAGGCATTGTTTCGAGTCTTTGGATCGAAGTCTTTCAGACATTATTGGTAATAAAGATGGAAAGCCGTTCGGAGGTAAAGTAATTGTGTTTGGAGGTGATTTCAGACAAGTTCTTCCAGTAATACCTGGTGGTGGTAGGGCACAAATAGTAGGAGCCTCGCTGAACTCATCTTATCTTTGGAAACACTGCAAAGTTTTAAAACTGACAAAGAACATGAGGCTCTTATCTGGTAATCTGAGTGAAGAAGAAGCAAGAGACCTAAAGGAATTTTCAGAGTGGATACTCGATGTTGGTAATGGAAGAATAGCGGAACCTAATGATGGTGAAGCTGAGATCGAAATTCCTGAGGAATTCCTTATAATGGATGAAGAGGAGCCTATTGAATCTATAAGCAGGAAGATCTATGGAAGTTCCGAGGCTCTGCAGGACAACACGGATCCAAACTTTTTCCAAGGAAGAGCAATTCTTTGTCCTACGAACGAAGATGTCGACAAGATAAACCAGCACATGCTAGACAAATTGAATGGTTAGTCAGTTTCCTCAGTTTCTACTATTTTACGATTTGTAACTAACCTAAATTGATATCTATCAGGAGAGGAACGAATTTATCTCAGCTGTGATACCTTGGATCCTTCAGACTCTTCTGCCATGAATGACGAGGCTCTAAGCACGGAATTCTTAAACAGCATCAGAGTTGCTGGCTTACCTAACCACAGTTTGAGACTGAAGGTTGGGTGTCCGGTGATGTTGCTAAGGAATATTGATCCAATAGGAGGTCTAATGAATGGAACAAGGCTGCAAATTACTCAACTAGCTGACTTTATGGTAGAAGCTAAGGTTATTACCGGAGACAAGATTGGAGCGAAAGTTATCATTCCTCGACTCACCATTACACCATCAGATGCGAGGCTTCCATTCAAAATGAGAAGAAGACAATTGCCTCTATCTGTTGCTTTTGCCATAACTATTAACAAGAGCCAAGGCCAGTCCCTGTCAGAGGTTGGAATTTACTTGCCAAGACCCGTTTTCTCTCACGGACAACTCTATGTTGCTATCTCCAGGGTTACGTCGAAAAAAGGATTGAAGATTTTGATCGTGGATAACAAGGGCAAGCCACAGAAGAAGACAACGAATGTTGTCTTCAAAGAAATTTTCCAGAATCTCTAACCATGGTCTTCTGTAGAAGATCCTATTCGAAGAGGTTTTAATTTGTTATGCTTCTAGAGATCTTATGTAGAATAACTCATTCATATCGAATGAGTCACACTAAACTATTTTTCATGAATTTTCTATCTGTAGAAGATTGAACTACATGATATCATTTTTTATTTTTACCAAAGATATTCGATGATGATGAACGAACACATAAACGATCAACCAGATTTTAATATATCTAATTCTTTATTCAGAAAACTATATAAGATCGAATACTCAATATAAGCAATTAGTTGAAAAAGCCGTTCACTATTTCTAGCCCATTCAAACTACGTAATTCGATTAAACGATGACAGTTAATATCAAGCCCAAACTCAATGCTTACCTTACGTGATGTCTGAACTGAATCCTGTAAACGGTTAGTTAAGGTTCGTTTCTTCAAAATGCACCTACAAAAACACAAAACAAATTTTTCAAAAGAGTCATTAATATTTCCCACATAAATTAAGTATCTATATACTAATATTGCAAAGAATATGACGTCAATCTACACTAAAATCCGAATCTAGACTTTCAGTAAATTAAATACCGGATTCTACGGTATAGTCAAACACGGAAGTTATATTTATATTAAATGCGGTCAAAAAAAAAACTCAACAAAATCTAATTATATTGTATTCTCGGAAAATCTCATTGCTACATAAAGATCATTACCCTTATATAAATATTCTTCCATCTTAACTCAAACCATCACAATCTTGAAAAATAATAGATCTCGATAATTTTCCAATGTTGAACGACGTTAAACTCGCACGAGTGGGACCAAACCGTCACGATTCGAGGATTACTGTTAAAGTGTTAAAGATCTGGGATACAATTCATGTCGACACCGGTGAAGGGCTCAGTTTCCTCTTTCTCGATGACGAGGTTACTGTTACAGTTTCAAAGTAATTTTATTTTGAAACTAATTTTACATGATACGAATGGATTTCTTAATTTATTTTCACAATTGTAACAGGAACGAAGATGCATGCATTGGTGGAAAGAAAAGATCAGCATAGGAGATTTAGGAGACTACTTCATGAAGAAGAGTGGAAGACCATATCTGGTTTCAAAGTTCGTACATTTACTCCTAGAATTCGTTTGACCAAACAAAGGAAAGAGATTTTCTAAACTTTCTTTTTGTGGATGAAACGGTTTGTTCTCAATTTATTCATATTCATATTTTTCTCATATACAAGTTCTTTATGTTCCAAAATCATGTTCCTAATTGAAGTTTACAACTCTAACAGGGCACAAAGATGCATGCTTTTGTTGAACAAAGTAATCAGAGGAAAAGGTTCAAGAGATGTCTTCATGAAGGGGAGTGGAAGATTCTAACCGGTTTTCCGTGGTGATGGTGAATACAGAGATCCGTTTGACGGAAGCCAGAAACAAGATTGCTCTCACGTCCAACACCAGCGTCACACCCGCAGAGGACTCGGATGCTTGGATTCCGCTTGACATCGTTCCTTACGAATATGTTTCGAATTTTTGGAATGATGAACGAACTTCTTTCCCTAGAGGTTAGTTTTTCTTACTTAACCTTTTGTATCATCTAAACGAGGAACCCTATAGGAAATGTAGCTTTCAATATGTTAATGTTATTTGGTATTTTTTTGTAGACTTTCTAGGGTTTATACTTGAAGTTCGTGAGACAACGGTCATGGAAGATGTCTCTATTCCTAGGAACCCTTTAAACGATGATCCAAAGACCACTAACACAATAGATTTCACCCTACAGGACAACGAGTAAGTATATTTACACAAAACTAAATTGGAATAATTGTTATTGTATTTCTGTTCTGAACTAACTGAATACATACACTATTTGTGGCTACTTTAGTGGGGATCAAATACAGTGTCGTGTAAAGGGTGCCTTAGCATCTAAGTTTAAACGGTTTTGGCTTTACTATGGTAAAATTGAGACCATCGTATGCCTCTTAACCGATTGGCGGGTTCTTGAAGATGCCGGTTAGTGTATGAAATTTCCATTACATCCTTGCTTGAATAATACTAATTTATCTTATTTATCTTGATGGGATGTATTTAGATCCTGCTCATATCGAAAGTGAAGAAGGAATCTCTAGATTTGAATTCAATCCTATTGGCTTTGATGAGGTTGACCATTTCACTGAGATAATGTAAGTATTCTACCTATGACTCTCTCTGATAACAAGAAAATGAAAAGGCTTAAAACTTGAATATTACAGCTTAATAAAACTAATGTGTCTATGCAGGTGCTCTTCCTCACAAGACAGCAGCAAAGAAGAAGTTGAAGAAATGGAATTTGATTATTTCAATGGCTGTAGAACCGACAACAAAAGTTGATGGACTTCAGGATATGCTCAAGCAAAATGTCGGAAGATATTTTAAGATCATGCATGTCGTCTACTTATCTTTATGCAACTTATCTAAGACAACTATATATTAAACCTTTGTTTCATGTTTGGGAACCTTTGTAAGTTTTCTTTCTATTTAACTATGTTTGATCTAATTTGTTCATAGCCTTTTCTAATAACATAACAATAGTCACAACTAAAAATGAAACAAACAGGAATACACGGATTGCAAAGGATTGAAAAACAACAAACATTTACCTTAGTATATTTTGCAGCATAGTTCTTTTCTATTGAAGAACAATGTTTCCTTTTCAATCCTCTTCACTGATGATTCCTACACAATGTTCAACTGTAAAAATTAATCAATGACAACCATCATAACTAGATCAATAATATAAAAACAAAGTTTACATATGTACGTAACCAATTAAATGAGAACTTATCTTAATATCGACTGACATATATCTATTCGAATATGTAATGATTCCTTAGCCGGTTACATAGAATCCGCAACTTAATGAACACTCCTTTTCTGAAAAGATATTATGTTTGTGAATTATCACAGGAAAATATTTAATCTTCAGAAAATCTTCAGGAAATATTTAAGAATCTATACTATTAAAAGCAACCGTCCACATAAACGCAACCCTAAAAAAAATCATATATAAGCGGAATCATTCATCCGATCTCAATCAAAACTCTGTAAAGAAGAAAAGAAACCTAAAAAACAACTTCCATGGCAAACTTTGAGAGACTCGCCATGATTACACCCAATGGAGATGATTCGATGATTCGAGTGAGAGTTGAGAACGTGTGGTCTACTCTAGATGTCGAGAATGGTGAAGGGCTCAGTTTCCTGGTGGTTGATGATGAGGTTTGTGAATAATTAACCTATACAGTTAAACATTGAGTCAGTTTAACATTGAAACCTAAAAAACAACTTCAATGGTAAACTTTGAGAGACTCGCCATGGTTACACCCAAATGGAGATGATTCGATGATTCGAGTGAGAGTTGAGAACGTGTGGTCTACTCTAGATGTCGAGAATGGTGAAGGGCTCAGTTTCCTGGTGGTTGATGATGAGGTTTGTGAATAATTAACCTATACAGTTAAACATTGAGTCAGTTTAACATTGAGTCAGTTTAGAGGTGAAATTTTTTAATGTTTTAATCTCTACTCATTTTTGAAAACAGGGCACAAGGATTCATGCATTCGTCCAGCATTTTGCTGATGCCAAGAGATTTAAGAGACTTCTTCAGCAAGGAGACTGGTTCACGATAACTGGTTTCTCAGTTGTTATTGTCCGGAATGAGATTCGTATGACTAAACAGAGAAAAGAGATCGTTCTCAAGCGAAACACAGAAGTTGGTGTTTCAGAATTGTTCAATGGTTTCATTCCGCTAGATTTGGTTCCATTTCAGGATGTTAAGAACGGAACTGTTCACGATGGAACTTCTTACACTAGAGGTTAATTTTCCTTACTAATACTATTGTTGAAGAGCAAAATGTTAAGATTAATTAATATGCTTTTGTTAAAGTCTGATATTCTGTTTTAAACGGTTTTTGTAGACTTTCTAGGCGTCATATCTTCTGTTTCAGATTTTGGCCTCACAGTGGATGACTCTATGCCTAGAAACATACATAACTATGATCCTAAGACCACCGGATCGATTGACTTTGTTCTTGAGGACAACGAGTAAGAATTTAATAACTACTTATTATATTTTTTCTAAACTAAGAAACGTGTTATGTTTCTAACATTATGAATGTCACAATTTGACTGTTATGCAGTGGAAATCATCTAAACTGTCGTGCAAAGGGAATCTTGGCGGTTCTCTTTAAATGTAATTGGCTATGTTATGGTGAAACCGGAACAAACATAGTCCTATTAACCAATTGGTGTGTTGTTGGAAGAGATGGTTAGTTTCTTTGATAACCGAAAGTTACCTTCATCTTACGCTATAGCATCTCAATACTAACTAGATAATGATCAACCATTACCCTATAAACTACCAGGTCCTATTCAAGTCGAAGATGAAGAAGGGATTTCTACTTTTGAGTATGATCCTCCTGGACACCACGAGGTGGTACATTTCACGAACATATTGTAAGTATTTAAATTTTTGTGATGTACAATGTTTTTTTAGAATGTCGCCTGCTCCTTAAGACCATTCATAGGTACTGGTCTACTGCAGATTGCACCAAGAGGAGGACCTGAGCGATGAATGATGAGAAGGAGGAATGAAGGAGATAAATCACTCAACCATTCCCATCAGTGTATGAAGATCTTTTCCATTTAATTATTTCTTGAGCTTTTGTTTGCAGTTTAACTATGAGAATCTAAGTATGCACCTTTCATTTCAACTATGGTTTCAAAATATCCTATGTTCTTCAAAACGATGTGAACTTTGTTAGTCTATGAGAATGATGTTTTAAATCTTTTTTCCATTTTTGAGAACTACCTATATTGTGATTGTATTTACGTTTGTCTTAATTCGTTCTTAGTTTATGCAAATAACCCAACAACGAAATTGTAGATCTAACGGAAAAATCAAGTTTCCCTTATGGTAACAAATTTAAATCACAACTAAAAAGCTAAACTAACTGTAAAATCACGGATACCACATAGATACGAAAAGGTGTCCAAGAACGTTCACCTGAGTATTTTGCAGTGAAGTTTTTTGGTATTCAACAGCAATGTCTTCTTTTCAATCCGTGCTTGACTCATGATCGCTCAGCCCGTCAAACATACAAGCAAGTAATGTGATTACGAAATGTTAAATAAATGCACTCCAAAACACGGGATTGAACATATACAAGTTTTAATTTACTTTGCAATTAATTTGATTCTGAGCATCTTAAAACCAATCTAAGGAAGAATTAAGTTAATCTTATTTGAGTTATCTAATCGTGGAGGCAAGTTCAAATCGAAGTCTTGCTACAGGGAAGGAAATTGCGAGAGCTTAGAGGTTTACCTGAAATAAAGGGAACATAGACGCAAGGGAACAGTCCCGTCAGCTGCAGAGATCGATTTTTCTGGGTTCTTTTGAGTAGAGCATAGGATTTTCCAATACGGAAGAGAATTAGGTCAGACCAGAAAAAATCATTTCTTTGATCGATTTAGATTTCGTCAATTGGAGAATTTCAGTAACCTATCTATGTGGAGAACGGGACGAGCATGAAGGAATCTGAAGAAGATGAAGGAGACGACCGGATTTTTGTCGAAAGAGAAAGATGATGCGATGTCGCGAAACAAAGAAATTGTAACGGCGGCGATTGTCGGCTCATTTCCAAATTGTAAAGAAAACCATTCGGTTAACCTAAACCGAACCAAATTGATTTCACTCCCTCGGTTTACCTAAATCGAACCAAATCTATTTCTGGACATCATCTATACTATTAAATGTATACTATTAAACTTATAATTATACCCAAAATAAGGAGTTCTAAAATAAGAGTATTGGTTTTCTTTTATGATTTCTGCAACTGAATTAACTTTTCGAACAAATGGAAATAATAAATAGGGGTCATCAAATTTGAAATATTAATTCTATACTTATAACTCACCAAATCAAACCCGCAAAACCATACATTATGAAACCGAGCAAACCCGGTAAATCTTTAAACCGAATGAGATATACTTCTATAACCAAAATATAACTCACCAAATGAAACCGTGCAAACCCGGTAAAACGACATATATGTATGTTCTACTGTCAAAACACATTGAAGTCGGTTTGAGCAAAACTGGCGCAGAGGTTAGTATCTTGCATGAAATTATAAGAATTTGTATACATATTAATTTCGTCCAGCACATATATATTCAAAATGGGAATCCTTACTCATCATCACATATATCACAAACATAACAAACTTTTATTTACATAATTACAGTATCAATATTTTAAAACATTTTTAAAAAAATACAACATCCCGTGCTTCAGGATCTAGTTAAAGCTGTGAAAATTCAAGTCACACACACCTTAACGACTTCTCAAAAAAAAGTGATATCAGGACAACAAAAACAAAGAATGCAGTGATGCTTAAAGTGAGCAAGACAATAGGACGGAATTCAAATGAGGTTTAGAAGATAAATCTTACACACTTCCTCCAAGAGACTCCAATCCAGTTACCTTTGAAAAAGATTCCTCATCCTGAAATTTCGCTTTTTTTTTCCTCACTTGCACTGAACTTTCGTCTGAAGTAAAGTCCTTTGTCCAATATATTGATCTTGCAATACCAAACCTGAGCAAACCTAAATTACATTAGACATCCAATAAAAAAAGGAACATTGTTGAGCACGATGAAATAAATAGCAAAGTAGACCCACTTGTAAAATAAAAGTTTAAGTACAAAGGAAAACAGCAAGCCATGTCCACGGATTTATGGATCTATTGACTTTGTAGCATCTCTACATCCCTAAACCCTAAACACTCTTTGCACCTGGTTATAACGAATCAACCCAAAAATATTAGGTAGGCAGGTGACATAAACAATCTCAATATCACATCTATGAGCCATTGAGAAGAAGAAAAGGTAGTAGAGCATATCCAGAAAGAACAAAATAGTTCAAAGACAACTGAATATGAGGAAAGCTGATGTTTGGCGTGGAAAAAAAAAAACTAACCTACAAGACAAAAACTCAACTTGACATAAACAAGGACAATCTCGCAGGTTAGCTACATATCCTAACTAGAGAAAAGGGTCAAATATGCAGGCAAACACAAATCTAGTATTCTCTTGAATCTTACCACTTAACCTTGACAAGTTCCATCTTTACAACCTCAGCAGACCCAAAACGTTACTCTTGAGGTTCAGTCTCAACCATACCTTCAAGAAATTAAGAAAAAACACAAACACAATGAGTCTAAGATTGGAATCGCAATAGAAAATGAGAACACAAACATAATAACGGAAACGCAGAACATGTCAAAGATTTTAACTAAATTCAGAAACCTAAATGAACAACAATCATCAAAACAAAATCAAGGGGGCAATCTTCAATTCCCAATTCGATATGAACTAGATTTCACTCCCAAATCAACTGACAGAAACTCTGCGACATTGCAACAGCGAGATCTACGACCAAAGAACTCGAATCGAACTACAATTACAAAATAAACTGAAAAACACAAACCGCATAAGAGAAGCTATATGTGTATCAAATCCTGATTTCAATCGTAGGTGAATTAGGGTTTGGGTAAACTTGGTCGAGGTACTAGAGGTAGAGGAGAAGGATGAGGGTAGGAGGATGAGGGTGGAGAGAAACGGTTCAGCCATATCAGGGGAGAGCGGTGGAGGAGTCGATCGGAGAAGGTGAGGATAGAGGGAGGAGAAGGAGTCTCGAAAGATTTTTCTTTTTCGTTCAGATGTGTTTCTGACTTTTTTCCTTTTTGTTCTGATAGATTTTCCCTTTTTGTTTCACAGTGTAAACAAAAAAAGTCATAATGGCTCCAATTGTGATTTTTTTGTTAAGTGTTGGCCCCTATGAGTCTATGACTGAAAAAATTAGGCTCCAAAACTATTTTTAGTTCCCGCTTAGTAAAATTAAGGCTTAGCATTTCTAAAATGCTATAATATATATCTTCAATCCTGTATATCCGTTTTTATGACCGTTTTAGACTATTGTTTTTTTATTACACTCATCGTTTTATTCGCCCCCGCCGCTTTAGACTCTTCCGCTTCTCGATCTGAAAAAGTTGTCGAGAAAAGTTTTTCGAAATTCAACTTAAATCCCTTTACCATCTCAATTACTTCAAACTGGAAACTCCAATCCGCCGATTCTCAACGTCTCCTCCATCAGAGACGTCTGCAAATCGATCAAAGGTACATGCAATTTTGATTTCTCGATGTTCTTCCTTACCTTACAATCTTACATGCAATTTTTTCCCGATGTTTTTGCGATTTCTCGATGTTCTTTCTTCTCTGGATCTCTTCCTTATTCGGAATAAGTTATTCCTATTTATGATTTGCGATTGATTGATAGATTGTTATAACTTACTATATTGTGAATTTGTGATATTGTAATAGAGTTTTGCGATTTCTCGATGTTCTTCACACTTTTGTTAATAGAGTTTTGACTTTTGATTTTGAGATTAAGTTAGGATACTGTATTTTCATTACACATAGAGTTGAAGTCTTAGCCTTATGGAGTTATGCGAATTGATTGTTAGAATGTTGAACTTTGAACTCGACCTGAAACTTGAATTGAATCATGACTGCTTGGCTTTGTTTGCTTTCCCAGATGGCTTCAAATGGTGAACCACAGTTGAATGATGATAGTGGATCAGAGACCGAGGATGATGTAACCGAAACCTCACCAACACCGCCACTGACTACGAAGAACAAAAGGCAAAGGGAAGAGAAAGAAACCAGAAGCAGCAAGCGCTTCGAACCAGAAAGCTTCGAACCAGAAATCATGGTCTCAAGTATGGGACCACTTCCAGAGACCTGAGAATGACAAGACAAAGGCAATTTGCAATTATTGCAAGAAGGTGTTTGTGGCTCCATCAGGCAATGGCACATCCAACCTGAAGAAACATAACATGGTCTCTTGCAAGGCTTTCTCCGCGTGGACAACTGCTAATAGTGGAAAGAAAGACCAAACCGTGTTGTCTTCTGATGGTTCTGATGTTCGACTTTGTAAAATGTCTGAGAAGGTGATTAGGGAAGCTTCTAATGAGATGATTGTGTTAGCGAGCTGCCTTTAGCTTTCATTGAGGGCTTGGCATGGAGAACATTTCTGCGGTAAAGCTAAGTTGCCCAATCCTCATTCTAGAAGAACCTGTACAAGAGACATTGTGGAGATGTATGTCCAAAGGAAGGTTGCGATGAAGAAGATTCTTGATGATAATAAGCAGAGATTGTCTCTGACTACAGATATTTGGGTGGCGCCTCATACATGGAGCTAGTTATATGGTATAACAGCTCATTTCATGACGCTTGGTGGCAACTAAGGAAACTTATCATTGGATTCAAGAATGTGTATGATCATAAAGGTGCAACTATAGCTAAGGTTCTTATTGATTGTATGGCTGAGTGGGACATCAAGCGAGTTTTCTGCGTCACCGTTGACAACGCCACAGCTAACAGTAATGCCATGGAGACATTCAAGAAAGAGTTCAAGCAGCTAGGAGATGATGCGCTGATTCTGAAAGGTGATTTTCTCCATTTAAGGTGTGCTACTCATATCATTAACTTGATTGTGAAACAAGGTCTGATGGAGATAGTTGAAAGTGTTAATGCTATCCGTAACGGCATTTACTTTGTGAGATCTTCCACACCTAGGATCAAGGCATTTGAGAATCATGTGGAATCAAGAAGGATTCAAAGAGGAAGCTTGCCTCTAGATGTGAAGACTAGATGGAATTCGACTTATGATGTTAGACCAAGCTTTGAAGTTCAGATTGGCATTTGACAAGATGCATGAGCTTGATTTTCCATACATCAAATACTTCACGGATATAGTGGAGGGAAAGAAAAGGGTTGGACCACCAACGAAAGATGATTTTGATGCGGCTCACAGGTTAGTCCAATTCCTCATTATCTTCTACAAAGCCACAATTGTTCTCTCTGCGTCAAACAGTGTTTGCTCCCACAAGTTGTATCATGCGATTGTGACTATGTCTTCAAACATCTCTTGCTGAGTACTAATCCTGGTCCGGATGAAGTTTTACGTGAGAAAGCCTTTGCAATGTTGATGAAACTAGGCAAGTATTGGGATCCATTTGATAAAAGGGTAGAGATGAACAAGCTGGTATTTGTAGCAGCCGTGTTTGACCCAAGCAAGAAGATGATCTTTGTTGAGAAAAGTTTTGACAAGCTTTACAGTAAAAGTCCGAGGAGTGAAGCTCTGAAAGATGAAGTGAGAGATATTTTGAAGAATCTGTTTGAGGAGTATAGCAGAGAACTAAACAAGAATGGAAGTGGTGAATCAGGTTCAATGGCGCAGTCAAATGAAGCATCTACTAGTTCTGCTCAGTCTAGAGAAGAAGCTTCTCAGAAAACGGTTCTTGAAATGGTCTAGAGTATGAAAGCATGAATGACATCTACAAGGAGCTTCTTGAGGATGGAGGTTTTCAAGAGAAGCTGAATGAGTTGGATTTGTACTTGAAAGAAAAGCTTGAGAATCCAATTTCTTTTGATGGGACAGATTACGATGTGCTTTCTTGGTGGAAGGTGAACACTCCAAAGTTTCCGGTTCTCTTGTGATAGCTAGAGATATACTTGCAATGCAAGTGTCTTCAGTTGCTTCAGAATCAGCCTTTAGTACTTCAGGAAGAGTTTTAGAACCGAGTAGGAGCTGCTTGACTCATTACACAATTGAAGTTTTGATGTGTCTTGAGCAATGGATGAAATGTGAGTTTAGAATGAATGACAAAGTGGTCAAGAAGGAACAGCTGTTAGCAGAGCTAGAGGTTCAAGATAATCTCATGCGAGGTAAATTACTAAATTATATTCATGATTTCATATAGCAATTGCATTTCAGATTTATAGTTACTACTTACTAACTTCATGAATCCGTTTATTTGTTTCTCTTTAGAGTTTGAACCAGCATTCACCTTTAAAGCACCTTGAGTTATTGGTAAGTACTTACTATTTAAAACTGAATACAAATTCTTTTATCTCTTTCAGTCTTTAACTTAGTATTATGTAATGTAGTTTGATAACAAGAGACTCGGTGAGGAGGGAATAAGAGACTCGGTGAGGAGGGAATGAAGTTTAATGGTCCGATTGTCTTGAAGAATAGAAGAGTTGGTGTCTTCTATAGTTCTATTACAAGACTTTGTGTTTTTCTCTTTTGTGTTAAACTTTGAATCTTTGATACTTTGTGTTTGTGGCTTTGTGTCTTGAAACCTTGAATGGTTTGATGTGTTTTTGTCAGTTTGGTACTTTGGTCTATCGTGTTTCAACCTTGAATGGTTTGAATGGTTTGAAATCTTGAATGGTTTGATATGTTTAGGACATATTTGTGCTCAATTTTCGGTTCTTTTTTTGGATTAAATCAGGGGAAATCGGGTATACACGGGTATAAACGGGTAAGAACGGGTAAAAAACCCGGTTTATACCCGAACCCGACAAGTAACCACAGTTTTTCGGATATTTGACAGTTATTTTTATGCTAGAACCGTTAGACCCGGAACCGAAGGGAACCGACCCGGAACCGAACCGAAATAGTAGCGGGTCCTATTTGGATAAATATTTCAAATAACTGTAAGACCCGGAACCGAAAAACCCGACCCGGAACCGAAAAACCCGACCCGGAACCGAAACTGGTACCCATTATGCCAATGCCTAGTTTGAAGTTTGGAGAAATCGGCGACGCGTATTCATGAAAGAAGATTAAGATTTGTTTTTGTAAGCGATTTAACATTTCCTTTATTTCAAATCATTTAAATTAGTATTTGATTATGAGGAAAAAGGTAAATGCTTTTCATAATTCTGTTGAATGGACCATTTTCTTCATTTACAAAATCACTACATTTTATTTGATTCTCATATTTCTTTGTTTTGATTTTCCCGTAACTTGAAATTCAATGTCTATAAAACATTTTCTACAAAATTGAGTAATCTTTATCGTTATTTCTTTCTATCTCTTAAAAAAAAACTAAATCTAAAATATTATTGGGTCTGACCCGTGATGTTGAATTATGTTGTTTAAAAACTTAGATCATGACTGCGCAGGTTTTTTTTTTTTTTTAAATTAATATGATAATTTATCGTTAATGATATTGATAATTTGTTGATTTTTATCAGATTAAACTTTGGCTAAAAAAATATACTTTTATTCAACCTTATTGGATGTGTGTCTTTAATCATTTTCAGACACTTGTTTTTTCTGTTCACATTTAATTTTGGTAAGACATAATTATTTTTTCTAGGAAAGAATTTTTGTGCGACATTCTCTGTCTTCGTCGATTCTTACCTAGATCACTCTCTTTTGATCATCCATTTTTTCAATTTTGTGTTTCTGCAGCCGAGAAGCTAGAACAATCAAGCTCCACCTGTTTTGTATAACCCAGGTAATCCCTTGACAAAACTCGTCCATGATTTCTTCGTTCAAGCCAAAAGAAAAGGACATTTGACTTCTTCTTCTGTTCTGCGTAATTAGAAAATCTTGATATTATTTCTGGATATATCAGACCCGAGAAATTAATCTCCACTGCTTCATAAAACACAGGTTTACGACTTTACCTCACCTAGTTTCTTCATCGAAGCAATTTCTCTGTTTCTTCTTAATCTGCGAACTTTAAGCTTTGCTTCCAATTTATGCAGCTTCTCATGGGATTCGAAACTGAACTCCACTGATGATGGTGCTCATATCTGCAATTCGCGATCGCTGCCGATTTAGCTCCACGCACACAACAAATTTCAGCTCCTTATTGCCAATCAGAATTGATTCATTTCGAAAGCTGGATCGTCGACGATCTAGGTAAACACTCATCTTCTTCACGCCTTAATCGCTTTTGATTTACAGAATCCAGTCAAGTCATAGTTTTTTATTTCATGATTTCTTCCCCGCAGCTTCTCCAATGAATCATCGGGACTTTCCGATGCCTTGATGATCTCAGGATAACCTTTTCTGACAACTATCATCTCCTCCTTGCTCGTATGATTTTTGGTGATAGTGAATTTCCGATGCCAAAAACTGAATCTTACATCGCCAAACGCAATACCGATGTTGTCAGGTACAGACCAGTCCATTAAAAACTCTATGTATAGACCCGTTGCATGGTTAATAACAATGAATTGAATGAATCTCCATTCTTCTTGAGGCATTTGAGGTTCAATTCTGTCTTCTCCAGCATCTCGAAACCTCAAGTAAAAAAAATCAACTATCTAAAAAATAATCAATTTGTTTTCTGCAATTAATTTGTTCCCCTATGAACTTTCTCTTCAGCTTTCCTGCTCTTCTCGAAATTCCTAATTCCATTGTTCTTGTTGCTTGTGCATTTGCATTCTCCTGAACAATTCCCTCTTTTTTTTTTTGCTAAAATCTTATAAGTTATCACTTTCTTGTTTCCTTTGATAGCTCATATAGTGTACTTTCTATCTCGTCTTTGATAGCTGTTCATGGGTGCATTGTTTGGTTTCTTGAGTTCCTCGCATGATATTCACATGATAGCTTTTCATATTTTTTTCTGGATGAGTTACTCTCTTTTCGTCACCGATAACAATGTTTCAAACTTGGGTCCGAACTAAGCAATTCTTCACTCTTTTCAGTGAAGGAGACTTGTAGAGAGGAAAAGTTCAACGTTTTACCTTTGATGGAGCTAAGAAGCTTATCATTGTTTTCTAAACGGGTTAATAATCCATGCTTGATTAAGAAAACTAATTAAGGTTAGTACAATAACCACTTTTCATATAATGAATTGTATGTTTTTCTGATTTTAAATTGATTGCATAGCAAAACTGTTTCTAAAATATGGTTGTACAATATGTTAGAATTCTGAACTATCATGTCTGAGTTTCGATAAAACAAAACTGGACAACCTTGAGGTTAAGACAAAAGACTAACAGGATTTCTTCCTTTTCATATTCTCCGCTTAAATGCCTTTGTCTCCACTTAATTTGCAGAAGAATTTGGTTGTTTTTGTCGACAATCGTGATACTAATCTATATGTTCTTATGTATTTGGTAGGTTCCCAAAAGTTAAAAGCAGTTGGATTTATAACCGGCATCACCTTCAAACCATTAAATGTTCGTCAAACCAGCTGTAAGGAGTACACATCCAAAGGTCGTTGGTGAAAAGTTGCTTGCTTCAGGCTATTGGTATGATCTTTAAAATCTATTTTGGAATAAATAAAAAATAATGAAGAAACAAAAGTTAATAATACCAAGCTGAAGCTTTTTTTTTTCATACAAAATGTTCTTTCCTCCTCGTGGTGCGGATTTGTTTCCTCAAATACTTTTCTGAACTCTTTCTTTTAATTCGCCTTTGTCTTGTTCGTGTATTTAGGCATGGACCAGATTTGACCCGTCACAATCTCTTCCTCTTTCTGCATTATGTATAAAGTCGGATTCTCCATATAGAATTGTCATCCTTCATGTACGTGAATAAAGTAGGTTTAGCCTTTTTGTTTTTGGTTTAGCTTGCTGGGAATCTGAAATTATAGTTCTGAGAATATAGGTTCTTTAGAGATATAGTGAGTCTTCTATTTATAAAGCAAAGTAGAACGCAGGATCCTGACCATAAACAACCTTGAAATTAAGAAAACTTGCAGAAAGCTTTTAAAGCAAGGCTGGTTCAAATTAGTCAAGCACGTTAAAATATAAAGAAAATAATAGCAGCAAAGCAAAATCATGTTATACAGTTTAACAAAAAATATACTTGTACAAACGCTGGACTCAATGAAACATAGTCTGAAAACTTGTTTGTAGCAGATAGATGTGTTCTCTCTCTTTTTGGAATTGCATGAAAACATAAAATAGAAAGTCAAAAAAGTAATTAAATTTCTCTTCGAAGAAATTATATATGAGGTCGAAGCTTCTATTGAGAAATGATATGAAAAGAAACGCACAATGGTAAAAGAAACCCTTTAAAGGCTAAAATCTATGTGCTATATATTTAAATACATCAAAATAATTAAATAGAGCATGTTTTTGTATTTTAGTATTTAAATATATATTTGATTGTATGTATTTTAAGATTACGATCTTACATTTTCATTGGCTAGAATCATCTCCAATGTTTGTTTATATGCTTGCTTGCATAAGCTTGTGTTTTCATAACCTGCAAGACAGAATGAGAAGCAGATTTTAGACTTGAAAGCGTGTATAAAGCTTACCGTATGAAGGTTAACTTACATTTTAGTATGCTGTGTTTTTTTTTCATCAAATAAACACAGCTTGATGCAACGCAAAGAGGCTCATTGAATCAATAACTCGAATCTGGAGGTCCAAAGCCTGGTACTTCTCTTTTTTCAGACGAATAAGGTATGGTGATATTCATAAGCCTGTGTGTTCATATCCTGCAAGACAGATTGAGATTAAGATTTCAGAATCGAAAAGGTGTACAAAATCTCTAATAGTCTATAATATCACGGACGTGTATTGCTTCCAAAAGAAGCTTAATTTGGATTCACCAACCTATTTTGAAAGGCTTGCCATCGTAAAGACATGTGAAGCAATAAGGAGAAACTATCTATTAATAGGTTATAGATTGGGACTAACCTTTGATCGTATCATAGTTGCTTGGTCATTCAAGAGAGAGCTTTTGGTTCCTTTATTCCCCTACATCCAAAACAAAATGCGATTAGTAAACATGAAAATAGAAACACGGAAACATCTATGCAATTTCGAGGTATGTACTAAACACCATGTGAATGATGTATTTATAGTTGTTTAAGATGAGTCATTAGGTTTTCAATCAATATGGTTTCAAAATTTATCACAGTATATTTTTGGTAGATATTTACGCAAGAATTTTTAGTTTTTTTTGTTTTTGGTAACTTTTCAAATTCAATATCAATGTATTATGAATGTCGTCACTTTTGTGTGCTTAGTACATTAGGTATTAAGTATATTCGTTTTAATTCATTAGCGAAATTTGTGGAAAACTTTATAGATTTTGCGTGGAAAGAAATCTGAGTTGTTATTGCTGTTTATATTATTTCTGTTTTTGTATTTGATTGGCACAGTTAATAATATTTATGGAAAATGCAGATTTTCGGAGCTGGAGTATTATTATGCTAAATCAGGATCCTTTGAATTCGAAATTTGAAAACTGTAATGGATTTGTATGGGCTTAATTTCATTCTAAAGCTTTTCCTGCATTTCTTTATATCTTCGTATGATCCGATAAAAGATCCGCTGGACTTGCGTGTTTTTTTTTTAACACAAACTGTGTCATCAATTATATTTTGGCTCACCAATTTTGTAATGGTTATATGGTTTAGTTGAATTTTGTCCAGTTCAATTTGTCCGGTTGAATTTAAGTAAACTTTTGGATCCGCGTGTTTTATCAATGGATCCGGGTGAGGTCGACGCGTGTAAAACTGAGTCGACTCAGTGAAACCCTAAATTTTTTTTTCCAAAAAACTCTCTTATTATACTTGTTTCCAAACACCTTTTCTTTATTATCTGTTTGGTTTTTTGGTAAATTACTTATTTTAGCTCCGAAAATTTTCTGACTGGAATACCCTTTGTGACTCAGTTTTAATAGTATTGATTAGATAAATCGTGCTATTATGATGTGCTATCAATGCTCCTTTTTTGTGTAGTGTTTGACTATTAGTCAACACAAACAAAGTGAACAAATTTACCTACGATTTGATATACATTAACGACGATGCAAGACATTACGTACGTAACTAAAGCCTCGGGGTTTTATTCTACCATGCCTAAATAAAAAGATCTATATACTTAAAACCAGAATCAAAACGGATTAGAATATTATTTAACTGACCTGCAAAATCACATATCACATTCAAGTTTTTAAATTAAGTAGTTTAAGTGTTTAACTAACCATGGTTGAATAACAAACAACTCCAACCCGTACGTACTTATTTACATTTTTTTTCTTCGATAAAGAACCTATTTACAGTTTATGTTTGACTATACAATTACACATGGAGAAGGCCATACAGGGTATGCTGCGGAACTCTAAAACATAGCAATTAACCAATAATAATATAAACTGATTTTTTGTTTTATTTATAGTAGCATCCAATAAATAATATTTTTACAATGGCGGAAAAACCTTTGTTAGGCTCCGACACATTATTAACTAGCTGAATAAAATTGCACGGTTTATTCTCAGACAAACAATAACACAAATTATTGTTATTTTTTCTAAATTCGGTTTCAATTAGTCAATAGTTAACATGGAAACAACCCCCATTAAATTTGTAAAATTATCTGTCAAGATTTTCTGTTATAAACTCAGAATTTCCAAACCTAAAAATCTTAAGGGAATATCTGGCAAACTCCGGTGATTTTTAGCAGTTTCCAACACATTTTGGGGATTATACCAATTCAAAATTCGAGCTCCGAAATTTGATGAAAATTGCTAAAATTTATTGGACTTCACCGGAAATTCCCTTAAAGCTTTTAGATTTGCAAAATCTAAGTTTAGAACAAAAGTTTCCGACGGATAATGTTACAAATATAACGAATCCGTTTCCATGTTAACAGTTGATGATGTGTGGTGGGTTTACTTCAAGATTTTATAATTTATAACCCAACCAAACTAAGCTGCAAGTGCACAGCCGTGTTGTGGTCGGGGTCAAACACAAGGAGAATGTCTTCTCACTTAACACCTTTGGAGATTGATAACGAGCTAGAACAAGAATATAGGATTATTGTGGATATTGAGAACCTAAAAATAAGAAAGAAAACAAAGTAAGATTAGATGAAGTTGTAAAACAAATGAAACGAAAAGTTAGGCAAAGGATAATCATATGGAGCATGTAATGAAAAGATAGTTGCATTGGGATGTAATTAAAAGTCGTCTTGAACATGAATCACTAAGGTATAGTCTTTCCACTTCTGTGGCTCCAACCACAATGTTTAAATCAACCTAATATACTCAGCTTTCGTTAGGTATTAGAATTGAAAATATGCAATAAAGGTGTTCAGGATTCAATTGTTCACAATGGTTTTTTTTTTTTTTTTTTGATCAACGATTGACTTTCATTAAACTAGCGGTCCAGAGATTCCAGAGCAACCAAGGAATTAGAGGAGTGTCAGCGATACCTGTAGGTGGAAGATTCCTGTAGTGCCGTGACAGCTCCAAGATCTGCTTCGTGTCTCGGCCCGAGACTGGAGTGTTTGTCCGGATTTGGACTGGGAACGAGCTCCAAACTCTCTTTGCGAACGGGCAATCTATCAATATGGTAGATACTCTCCGGCCCATTACATCTTTTACAGTGAAGTTCCGAGTTGATGCCTCTGTAAGCTAGAAGATCCCCTACTGGAAGCGCTTCGTGAGCTATGCGCCAGAGGAAGTACTTTAGCTTGGGGGAGGTATGAACATTCCATATATTCTTATACCAATCAAACTTGCTTTTAGATGTCTTTGGAAAGAGCTGAGCGAGTAACTTGTAGCCTGATTTGGTATTGTAGATTCCTGATTTCTCTGCCATCCAAACTTGAGAGTCGGCAGGACGGAAGGAGCTCGGAATTAGTTGGCGAATTGTGTCCTCATATTGAGGTAGGTGCAAGCGTATTGCTTGTAGATTCCATTCGTTTGTGTTATGATCTAGGAGGTCCTTAACTTTCAAATGGAGGTTATCGATGGTAGGAGGACCAATGGGTAAAAGGGGTTGATTAGTTGAGAGCCAAGGGTCTGACCAAACGTTGATAGATTCCCCATCTCCCACTAACCATCCCAACCCCTTTTTTAGGACTTCATTGCCAGCTAGGATCCCTTTCCAGCCATGAGATCCTGATTGTTTGTGTTTGCTCTCCAGGAACGAAGAGCCAACCTCTCCATACTTCCCTCGCAGGACTTGTGCTAGTAGAGAGTCGGGGTCTTTGAAGATTCTCCAACTTAGCTTGGCTAAGAGGGCATCGTTGAACGTCTCTATGTCTCTGAACCCCAAGCCTCCCTCTGCTTTAGGTATGGCCATCTTTTTCCAGGCCACCCATGCCATCTTTCTGTGGTCTTGTGAGTTGTCCCACCAGAATCTAGTAAGGATTGTCTGGATCCGTTTACAGAGGGATCGAGGGAGCTTGAAACACGACATGGTGTATGTGGGGAAGGCCGATAAGACTGATTGGAGGAGGACATGTTTTCCGGCGCCTGATAAGAAACGAGTTGGCCAGCTATGTGATCTCTGCCTGATCCGATCCACCAAACCCGTGAAGACATCTTTCTTCCGTCTTCCAAAACTTTCTGGAAGTCCCAGGTACTTACCCATTCCTCCTTCTTTTACAATGCCTAGAGTCAGTTTTACTCTTTCTTTGATTTCTGGTGGGGTTTTGCCTGAGAATGTCACTGTGGACTTTGACAGATTTATGCACTGACCGGAGCTACGTTCATACCAGTTAAGGATGAGGGATAGTGCTAGACAATTGGCATCATTTGTTTTGCAGAAGAATATGGTGTCGTCCGCAAACAGCAGATGGTTGATAAAGGGACTCCTCCTCGCTACTTGAAGCCCTTTAAGATTTCCAGAGCGTTGAGCTTGTTTGCATAGACCGGAGAGGACCTCCGTACATAATATGAAGAGGTACGGCGAGAGGGGGTCTCCTTGCCTCAATCCCCTAGAAGGAACGATGTTGCCCTGGGGTGCGCCGTTGATGAGGAAGGAGTAGGACACTGTTGTGACACACTCCATTATCCAAGAGATCCACATGGGTTGGAAACCAAACTTCTGAAGGACCGCTTTAAGGAAGCCCCACTCGATGCGGTCATAGGCTTTACTCATGTCGGTTTTTACCACCATGGAGCATCTCTTTGTAGCCCCTGAGATTTTGAGATAGTGGAGCGTCTCATGCGTTATCAGGACGTTGTCTGCAATTGCTCTACCAGGCACAAAAGCGGATTGGTGTTTGGAGATGAGGGTATCGAGGAAGGGCTGGATTCGACCAGTAAGTATTTTCGCTATTATCTTATACCTTACGTTACATAACGCAATAGGTCGGAAATCTGCTGCTTTCTGTGGTGCTGTGCCTTTTGGAATCAAGCATACATGGGTTTCATTGAGTTTCTTGTCCAGATTAGCTGACAGGAAAAAACCTCTTATTTCTTCACAGACATTCGCACCAATAATGTTCCAGAAAGACTGGTAAAAGCCTGCAGAAAACCCATCAGACCCTGGGGCTTTATCTGCGTGTACGTTGAAGATTGCGGCCCTGATATCTGTATCATCCGGAATCGCACATAGTTTCTCAATCATCGCAGGTGTGATCCGGTTTGAGATTGTTTCTTCCACCGTTTGAAACTCTTGTAAGTTGTTTGACGTGAAAATCTTCTGGAAATACTCGCAGAAAACTTTCCCTATTTGGGGTTCTTGGTGAAAAGTTTTTCCCTCGTCGTCTTCAATGATTGTGAGCCGGTTAGTGGCTCGTCTCCCTTTGGTGACAGCGTGAAAATACCCAGTATTTCTATCACCGCCCTGGAGCCACTGGACCCGACTTCTTTGTCTCCAGAAGCTCTCCTCCGCCTTATACGCTTTGTTGAGTTTTGCTGTTAGGGCTTCGATATTGACCTGGTCAGGATGTGAGGAGGACAACTCTACTTCCAGGTTAGATTGTGATTCCTCTATCATTTTTGCACTGTTCTCCTTCTCTATCTTTGACCACTCTATTATACTCCTCCGACACCGGTTAATCTTATCTTCCACGCTTTCCTCTTTGTCTTTGTCCCAAGCCTGCTCAATGACTTCTCGTGCTTTTTCATTATCATTTAGGGACCTATCATAGCGGAATGGTCTATGTTGCTTCTTCCGTGACATATCCAGGAAGGTGATGACAAGTCTATGGTCCGAGCCCTCAAAACGGAGGTAATTGCATCTGCCTGAAGGGAAACACTCAGTCCAGACACTATTGGCTAATGACCGGTCTAGACGGGATTGGATAAAGTGGGAGTGGCGGTGACCTCTCCATGTCAGGGGATTTCCAGAGTGCTTCACATCCCACTAGCCGTTTTGTGAGACAGAGCTACGGAACTGGATAAAGTAGCCTTCACTGCGTTCCGGCCCTCCTATCTTTTCCGAATTTTCAAGGATATCATTGAAGTCTCCTGTGAGCAGCCATGCTGAGTCTCGTTGATAGCCAATCTGGGAGATTTGGTCCCAGAACTCTGCTCGTTGCTCTTGCTGGGGCATTCCATAAATGAAGGTAATATGGAACGATTTCTTCTGATAGATGACTTTGGTATCTATGAAATGAGGTGATGATAACGAAATTTCTAATGTGATGTCGTTTTCCAATAGAAGAGCTCAACCACCACTTAAGCCCTCCGGGGGCACTGTGAAATGATGTTCATAGTTCAGAAACTTGAGAGAGGATAGCACAAACTCATCTTGATTTTTGGTTTCCATGAGGAACAAAATATCCGGAAATTGAATTTTCTTCATTTCGCGGAGTCTGGGAACTGTCAAGTCACCTCCCAAACCTTGACAGTTCCAGCTTACAAGTGCTAAGGAATCGGGTCTCTTGGAGCCCGAAAATCCACTCTACCCTTCTTAGTCGCTGGTATTAGCACCATAGCCGGTGGTACACTATCCTCAGTACGAGGTACGTTTTCAGTTTGGTCTAGACGATCTACACATAGCCGTTTCCTAGTAGGGTTAGCTGTTCTTGTGGCTAGCTGTTTCCTGAGACTAGCTCACTGAAGATGGCTTCGGTAGATTTTTCCTTTTGGCGTCGCCTTAGCTTTCTTTTTTCCTGGTGTTTTGGATGTAGAGGCTCTTGTAGTCATCATTGTTTTCTTTACCGCTTGTGCTTTAGCAGCTGTTGGTTTTTTACCCGGTTTTGAGGCAGCTTTCCTTTTCTTTTGTCCTTCAGGTGATGGCCCCAGGCGTAAAGATGTGTGGACTCGGAGGTCCGAGTGAGCTGAGTTTTGAAGTGATGAGGCAGAGCCCCTGCCTCCTGATTGTTCTTCTAGTCTGCCTCCTGAGAGTTCTCCAATCCTGGTGGATTGGTTTACTGCTTCTTCGTAGTGGACTTCTACGTCCTGTAATCTAGCCAAGAGTGAGCTGGATAAACCAGTAGGTCTATTAGTTTCCTCATGCATGGGATTTTCTATTCTCTCCAGGGCTGATCTTCGTTCCCTGGAGTTAGTGTGGGTTGCTTCTCCATCCGGGATTAGTGTAGGTATGGGATCCCTCCTCGGGTTAGGTGAAGGGGTGTGGGAATATCGAGACTGGTGGGATTGAGAAGACGATACTCTGTGCCTCGAGACTGCCTCCATACCATCATGCCTTCCCGGGGAGCGGTCTCTCTCGTCTCTTCGGAGAGATGAGTGTCTGGAAGTGGACATTCCTTGTGTAGGGACTCTTCTTTCCGAGTAAGTTCGCGAGGAGCCTCTACTAAAGCTGGTGTATGGCACTCGGGGCGGCTCTTTGTTTGAGCTCCGGTGGGATCTTCCCTGAGAGGAGAGATTCTCTCTAGGGATTGGAGTATATTGGGACAGAGGGGGTCTGAAGCTTCTGACTGAGTTTCCGCGGTTGTGAGAGCTTGTGTTTCCTCCCTTGTGGGTGAGAGTGCGTCGGGTCTCTTGGTATCTTCTGGAATCCTCGATACGTCTAAGCGTATTCTGCTGACTTATGCCCAGTGGAATATTTTGAACCACTCCCTTGTTCCCTAGGATAGGGCAGGTTTCGCTCTCGTGGCTAAGTGAGAAGCAGTGGAAACAGTGCTTCTCAAGCTTCTCATACTCCAGATCCACAGTTGTCTCCTCTCTTGTTGGAAGACAGATTGAGATTTTCATCTCGAGGGGTTGAAGCCCATTGATTTGTGCTCTGATACGGCCGAGCGTGATATCTTTCCCCAGAATGGGGCCAAGTTCTTTGCCGATAGCGTCTATGGTTTCTTCATTCCAATAGTGGAGTGGAATACCATGGATTTTGATCCAGAAGTCGATTCTGTTCGGGAAAGTTGGAGAGACTATGGGTTCCCAGCGTTGAAGCATTACCATCCAGCGTTTGTAGTGGTAGGGACCTTTCCGGAGAACTGTTTGGAGTGAAGCTTCTGTCTGGAACCGAAACTGGAAGAGTTCAGGACCTAGGTCACTGCCTTCAACTGGGGAGTCCAGGTTCCAGTATTGGATGAGCCAATCCACCACCCATTGTGTTTTTTGGACAGCTGGGTTTGTGACTCTACCGATGAGAGTAAGATGGTTATCAGCGATAAGGCGGGAGTTGTTGCTGGGAGGGATCTGAACTGGGACGCGGCGTCCAGATCTAGGGGCTTCTGCAACCCACTTTCCTTTCTCCGCTCTTGAGTAGTGTCGCGACATGGTGGAGAGATTTTGCTTTTTTGAGAGAGCACTCGGCTCCGATAGTGTGAGCGGATTGCTCTGCGAAGACTTGACCGTGACGTTTGCTAGATTTTGAGATAACTGCAACCTGCAGTAGGAGAGGGAGCTCCGGTGGGAACTATTGGGGACAGGTTGGATCTTTTCTCGTTTTCCGTCGTGGAACGAGAGATGTAGGAGAAGGAAAAGTAAGCCAATGAGTTTCTGCTGTATTGCGTCTCAAGGGAAACTTAAGGGCTTTAGCTGTGATTTGGCTTCGTGATAAAAGGTGAGAGGTACAAAGAGGAGGCGGAACACGGTTGAAACTCGGGGAAACTAGGGTTTCTTTAGAGGAGAAGGAGCTCTTACCGGCGGAAAGACGGACCCTCCGACCAAAGTCGGGGGCTGAACCCGGGTGTGGAAACCCAGGATTTGACAATTTTGAAAAACTTTCCAAAAGAGGTAAGGAGACAGTGGATAAAAGAGGGCTTGATTTAGATGGGAGAGGGTAAAGACCTTTCTCGAAAAAGGTGCCTGGGAGAGAAAAAGGGAGTCAAAAGCTTGCGTTGATTATGATAAATCTATTCCGGATAACCACTAAACAAAACAATATCAATTTGTTCACAATGGTCTATAACTCAATTTCCGATGGTTATGACCCATTGCTAACCAAATACTAGTTTTGGGATCTAGATTCAGCACTGTCGTTGTTCTATTTCCATATGATCATCTAGGTAGAGTAATCATGCATTATGTTCAAGTAAAAGTGAAGATCCATAAGTTAAAATACCATTTTAATGCAACCCAATTAAATCATCACACCAACCATAGATCTCCTCGGCCTAACCAAGAGATCTACTCGGCCATGATGCAAACAAGCAAACAAAGCATGATTGAAAGCATTATGAAAGTATAAGTAAGAGGTAAAGGTATAAAGAAATCTTCTCTATTAAAGAAACAAGGTCGGATTTCCCTTGAAATCTCGATCTCAAGTACAAAGTTGATGATAAAAGAAAAGTAAAATTTGAAAATAAAGAGCAAGTGTTGAGCAAATGCAAGACTTGAGCGGCGCCTCCTTCTTCTCCTCCTAGATGGCAAACTCCTAGGGCTCCTTTCTCTCCTTGACGGCAACTCTCCTCTTGCACGAGTCTCTCTTTTATTTAGAGGCTAAAACATGTATATATGGGGTGAAAGTCGAGTAGGGTTTTGATGTGCCGCAAAAGGAAAGTTTCCCATGAGGCGGGCTTCTTTTCTCCCGACGTGAATGGGCTGGTATTGCGCCGAGAAAACATCCAAGAACAAGATAGGCCTTTTCTTAAGCGAGCCAAAGCCTATCCGCAGTGGTCCGGGCCGTGGGATACACCAAATCTTCCCATGGGTTTCATCTTGTCGCCAATCGGACATGTTTTGGTAAAATGGGCGTATCTCCCTGTTGGCTGATCCAAATGGCTTCATTCTACTTCGACGTGATGCATGACTCAAATATATATTCATCAAGACCAACATAACCGTTTTTGGACGTCGGGAACATCTCCGTTCACGGCCAAAGTTCTGATACTCCGTTTCTGCCCGATAGCAAGAATCGAACAATTGGAGTTTTGTTGATGCACTTGACTAGGAAACTTTCATGAAATATGGTTTGAGGCTCTTTTTCTCCTTTTTGATAGTTTAACTTACAAAGACTTCAAATCCCAACAAATACAAGAAAACTACCTCTAAAGACAAGAGATCTTATTGAAAATAATTTAAAACATAAATAAATACTAAGTATAAACATGTAAAATATAGTGATATCAACTCCCCCAGATTTATCATTTTGCTTGTCCTCAACTAAACTAAGCAGGAAAAGAGGTTTGAAAACATGAGAACTCTCAAATCTTTTGAAAATCCAAGTTGACCTTTACTTTAGTAATCCACATAAGACAACAATGGCAATTTTGAATTACGAACAAGAGTACATACCATGAGTTTTGCGATCATCCCAAAGCATTCCACCTCTCCTCAGGCCATCCAAATCCACACTTTCCTCAATCTTGACTCTTTTAGTTTCTAAGGGTGTGGTCTCAACTAGGGAGTATCGATCAAGCGGCTTTTAGACTTTTCACCCATCCTCTTGATTAAACAGATGTCTTGATTCTTTTTCCTCCTCTCTCTCTTCTCACTTCTTCAAGGTTATTCATCCCTCCTTTAGGGTAGCAATGTATTTTTTTCTATCAACTTCTTCTCTTTAGTGTTTTAGAGGTTTTCTTTCTTTGGATGGATCTTCCATAGACGCGAGTATTGACGGTGGTAGCCACCTAATCCCCGGTTACTTGGATCCATAGACCTTCCATAGATGTGAGTGTTGATGATGGTTGCCACCTAATCCCCTATTACTTGGACCTTGATGCTTTATCTTTAAATTGAAGGGGAGAGAAAGGGAAACTAGACTCACACATACTTTCATTTGATGGTGAGGATGAGGAGTCATGCCTTTTGTATACCAAGCCCCTAGCTGAGAAGATTAAGTTCATTAGGAGCGAAGTCAAAGATGGATCCTTCTTAAGCCCTTAGAGATGTGGCGTTTTTGGTAGATCGATCCACTCATAGTGCACTTGTGGTAAAGTATACTGACAAGAACTTCTCAATGGTCACATAAATATCAGCACAACAATGGTTAGATCCAAGATAAGGTCATGCTTCTCAACAAAATTTTTGACTCAATAAAAACGACTCGATAAAAAGAAAATAATGCAAAATGAAATGAAAAAATTAACAAACATAATTAGTAATAAACCACTAGACTTATCTTGCACCGTCTCGGTGTAAGCAAATCAGATTAAGAGAGGTGAATAAGAAAAATAAAATGAAAAGTTTAGATTTAGGATGATGTTACCAAGTGTTGACCATAAGTCATGAAGATCTGGGCCGTTTTGGTGAATGGGACACTTCCTTAGGCAATATTGGTTGGTGAGTTTTGAATATCAGGGCTTTGTTTACTCCGGATTGCATTTTGGTCGAGTATGGTCCATTTTGTCGGCTGAAAGGGTATGCTATGGACCACAGCACAAACCATGAATAATTCCTCGACCCATATTGAAATTGCATCAACCAACCTGACATTTTATTGGTTCTGGTGAAGTTTGAGAGCATTCGAACGAGCGGATTGAGAGTTCCTTCACAAAGTGGTCAAGTCGACTCCGGGAAGAGTTTCTTGACCATCCTCAAGTTTGGCTCGTTCGTTTTCAGATCTTCCTTTATAAATGTGTTAGTGTAGTTTGAATATCTTCACCGTGATCGACCGGATGGGGCTCCTTTGAATATCTCTTGAACCGTGAACATTTTACAATCCTATCATTTGGATTTTCTGACCATAATTGGATTTTATGGCCGTCTGTGAAGTTTGGTGGACTTCGGACATACGGTTTGGGAGTTGTCTGAGAATGGTTCTCCGTGTACCCGCCATGGCCGAGAGAAATAGACCGGATGGGATATCTCCAGATCTACTCCGGCCAATTGAGATTTTCTTTGGCCGAATCAATTTTTTATCCCTCCTTTATCATTCCCAGGCGGTTACCGCCTTGTTCCATGCGTTTAGGTGCTATTCTCCTTTGAAACTTTCTTAAAACCGCCACAGGTGTGGTGGTTTGGGTCGGCTACAGTAATTCTCCTTTTTTTCCTTCCTGTGATATAGTTAGGTCCTTGCAAAACACTTGAAATCACTATTAGATGTGGTCTTAGATTGAGATTCTCAAGTAGTCATCTCGAAATTCTCAATCTAAGATAAAAAGGTATAAACTATAAAAACATTGTGGATCTTGACTAGGGATCTCAAGGTTCAAGTTATAGTCTAATATATGTGAATTCAGTGTATAAGTTTATTTTGGCAAGTGAGGATTCATTTTCATTCATTAAGCATCAAAATTTAAACAATTTAAACCATGAAATGTACTAATGAAGTGCAATAGTTCAAATGCTCATAAAACTAAGATAAGAGATGGTTTTGAATGAATGATTGAGAATACGTTACTTACCTGAAATAGTTGTTGCCTTGTTTAAGGGTGGAAACATTGGGTGGGGCACTTTCGTAGTTTGGTTTCCTTTTGGGTCTTCATCATAAAATTTTATTTTTTTGTATTTTTGCATAATTTTTTAAAATTTCTGAAAAATAAAAATAGATATTTAAACATGTAGAGATAATATAAAAATTAAAAACAGAGATTAAAACTTTGTGGATTGCCTCCCACAAAGCGCTTTGATTTAAGTCATGTAGCTTAACTCTTTTTTCTTTAAGTGTTGGGAAGAGCGGCTAGAGGGTTTGCGATCCCTTTAGCTTCTCCATTCTCTGGTTTGGGCGCTCTTGTGGTGGTTTGGACTCTCCAAGATCATCTCCCATGTCGCCTTTGAAGACAAGCGCTCTCGGGAAAAGTTTCATGGTCCTCTCGAGCTTCTCTCTTGCGGTATGATCGTCTTTAAGCTCTGTATCCTTTGGGGTAAGGATCCTCATCTGGGCATAGAACTTGGATACACCATCAGACTCCTCTTCAGCTCCATATTCATCAAAGGTTGAAAGCAAGACCGAGTTGATGTCCTTGAAGACATCTTTATGTTTCAGCTCCAATGGTTTCTTCTTCTCCTTTGGTATTGGGTAGTGCTCACTCTTCTTTGTTCCTCTGGGCAGAAAATCTCCTTTCTTAGGCATGAGAGTGGCTTCTTCTGGTGGTAGCTTGGTTGCACTTGGTGCTGACTTGAAGTTGATGCTTGGGAAGAAGACATATTGCCGAATATTGCCCAGTGACAAGTGGTTCTTCAAGTAGTTGATGACCGTGCCGGCTGTGGCTAGGAATGGGGTTCCAAGAATCAGTTGATTCCTCTTTGAGCCTTTCCATACCATGATTTCAAAGTCAGTTGGGAAAAGTCGCACTCCTATCTCCAGAATAACATCTTCAAGAATTGCATAAGGCTCCATACCTGATAGAACCGCAAATTCAACTCTCACCTCACGACTCTTGAATTCCTTGAATCCTAAGTCTTTTGCCAGTGAAAGAGACATGAGGTTCACATTAGCAACAGTATCACATAGGCAATCATTGAGTTGATATCCTTTGATACAAGAAGTAATCACAAACTTCCTCGGATCTTCTAGCTTTGGTAGTGGCTAGTATTCTCTTGTAAGCTCTCCTTGATTCCCATGTGTATCTCTCCGATTTTTTCCTCTCCTTAGGCTCATCTTATTCTTCTTTACCTTGAGATAGTGTGGGTACAAGCTGGTTCTCTCTAGACAAGAGAACACTACAAAATATTTGAGGGTTTACCTCATGTTGCTTCTTAGCTGCTTCGGCTGTTTGAGCGATTTGTACCTCTAGCTTTTGGTCATGAGTGGAGAGAGATGATGTACTTGCATTTTACATAGTTTTAGCACATCTTTTATGCATCTTTTGCATAGTTTTAGCTTCCATTTGCATCATATCTTGTTCCTTTTCTCTTCTTATGCATTCATGTTAGTTTTAGGTTGCATTTGCATACATATGCATGTTTGGTCCTTTGAAATAGGTCTTTTGGAGCATTCTGGAGCATATGGGACATAGGAGCATGGAGGGACTTGGCACATGGAAGCAGCTCAACTGGATACGCAAAGGAAGAAGGGAGAAGCCATCTTGAAGACCAGCTCGACCGTCTACTCGACCAACCGGTCGAGTTCCTCAACTCGACCGGCCAAGCTTCAACTCGATCGAGCTGAGAAGTCAAAGTCAAACCCGAAAAATGTTGCTTCCCCCTTGACTTTCCTTTGACCCTAAACCTAATCCTCTTGTATTTAAAGGCTCTAAGCCACGAAAAAACCACCAAGCTTTAGATTATTTTGTTTTAGTTTCTTTTAATTTATTGTCTTTTACTTTTTAGAGATCTAATCCCATCTTTGTGTTCTTGAAGCTCTTGCTTCTTGAATCTTAGATCCTGGATAATCTCTCTTGTATTTGCACTTGCTTATTTCAATAAAAGTTGTTTAATTTCATCTCCTCTTTCTTATGATGTCTCTTTTATTGCATTTGCTTGTGTTTACATTCATGTGTAGTGAGTAGTTACCCATTGGGGTTTGAGATGGGATAGATTAGAGGTTTCATATGCTTAATCCTTCTAGCTTATGGTCTTAATCTAGATTCTCTCTCTTTTGGATAGATCTTAAGGCTACATGACCACTACCCCTGGCTTGTAAGTCCTTAGGCGACTCCCCACACGAAAGTGATGGCATTCGCTGGAAAAGATCCACTAAGAGCTCCAATATCTCTTGCTCTAGACAATAGAGGTCTAAGGGGTTGGATGGATTAGTTTGGGCAATGATCCTATAGCCTCCAAGGTTTGATTCTCACTGGCTAACCCCCTGTTTCTGAGATCATTCCTTGGTTGATAGCCTCCACCTTGGGAAAGGGTTGGCTAGGCATTGAGAAGCCCAATATCAAGAGAAGCCTTGATACAAGGAGTTTTAAGAGCTAGATTGATTAAGTGTAGATTCCTTTGATTGCAAAACCCTGTCTTGAACCCTAATTCTCTCTTTATCTTGTTAAAGTCGTCACCTTTAGCTTTGTTTGTCTCAACTCGTCCCTAAACTCGATCGAGCTGGTACTTTGCTCTGACTCGACTCGAGCTCTTGGTCGAGCTGACACTTCACTGCTTTGTTTACTTTTATTGCACTGCTTTTCATTTTATTTAGGTTGTTAGTGTTACTTCAAATCTATAACTGCTTGCTTGACTTCCTGATTTCATCTTAGTATTGAACTCCTTAAGCTTCAAGGGGCTTATCTTGTTTGGATCAATGGGATCATAGGACCAAGTATCTTCTTCTTCAGTAGGTGGTGGTCTTTGTATCACTTCCAATCTTGGAAGCTCAGAAGCTTGGCTTCGTGGTGGTGGTGAGAAACGAGGGTCAGTTGGGCTAGGTGTGTCCCTGCTCTGTTTTGGAGAAGCATTGATGTCGATGTTCTGCTCCACATCTTCATCATCAAGTTGTTCCTCATATTCTCTTTCTTCTTCTTTATTGTCCTCATGGACTTGGCGATTGTTGCCTCTTCTATGAATGGCTCTTGCAGCATTGCAAGGAAAGGGAGGGAGGTTGGGTGTTGGACTTCTCTCTCTCTTGTACTTTGAGTAGGATGATCCTTCAAGGGCTTGTAGGCGGTTGTAGATCGAACCAAGATGCTTGCTATTGTCATAGTTGGTATTTTCAATCTTCATGCTCTTGTTGAGTAACTCTTGATATTTTGCAGCAACATCAAGCCTTATAAGGTTTAGAGATCGATCATGGTCTTCTCTAAGCTTCTTTATGTCTTCATCAAGCTTGATCACTTGCTTGAATATGACTTCAGATTTGTTTCCAAGGCTCTCATGGATGAAATCGATTCTCTTCTCCATCTTCTTTGTACTCTCAGCTTGATCCTTCAAGTATTGTTGAAGCATCACTTCAATCTTGGTTGGGCGTTGGGTTTGGGAATTCTCCTCAGCAAATAAAGGTGCTTGGTCTATGTTTGGTGACGATGTGATATACCTCTATTTTACATGCTTTTTATACTGTTTTAGCATTGTTTTCTAATGGTTTTTGGCAGGTTTTCTATCTAAAAAGGTAGTTTTACTGTGTTTATAGTGTCTAGAGTCTAAACAGGTGAAATGATGCATTTTGGAGCAAAACCATAGGATTTGCACTTCAAGCCGCTCCATGCACAAGCACCAACTTTAAGAGGGCCCAGAAAAAGATCTACTCAATGGATTTCATCAAGACCAGTTCCCTGCGTGCTCTGATTGAGTTAACTTTCCAACGCAACTGGAACGGCCTAATTTGGATGAGTAGAAAAGGAGTTATAACCAAAAGAGTGAAGACTGTCCAGACGGCTCTATCGAGAATCAGCGCCCAACCGCGCAGTCCGGCTGGCCGAGGAACATGTTCCGCTCGGCCAAATCTATCCGTCCGTCTGAAGTCTCGGCCAAAGTCCAAACCGACCGGCCGATCACGCAATCACGACCCGGGAAACATTGTCCCGCGGTCGGCCACGCACAACGTCACGCCACGCCGCGCACGACCATGCCGCGCGAGCCGGGAACAAAGCCTCGCGGCCGCGCAACCCACTTCGCGTACCACGGCCGATGCATCCGTCCGAGCCGGGAAAGAACGTCCCACGTCCGGCCGAGAAACATCGGCCAAATCTTCATCCGTCCGACCACGCCGGCCGACCGTGAATCATCCGGCCACGACCGTTCCGACTCGGCCACGACCCGATGTCCGGCCGATCGTCCCGACCGACCGTCCCAACGCCGCGGTCGACCCGAAGCCCGTTTTGAAGCCCGATTTCATATTTTCAAGCCCGGCTTAACCCTAAGCCGCCTCAAAAGACCTAGCACTATATATATAGCTTTTTAGCCTCTTGTGAAAAGAGAGCCGCCCTTGTATTTCGATTTCCTACTCTAAGTTTTATTGCAATCATGTTTTCTTCATCTCTATGTGTGTTTGCTTTGATCATGTCTGAGTAATCCACTAGTTAGGTTGCTAGGGTTACTATTCAATGAGTTGCTTGCATGATCTTTGATTTCAATGATTAGCTAGGGATTATATTAGAGTCTTTGTCTCGTCTTGTGCACTTAACTAATGCTGATTGCTTTACCGCGCATCTAGTAATCCGATCTTAGGTTGATTTGAGCCTCGACAGTGCTGTATCATTCGCCGGACATATTCTTTGACAAGCTAGGTTTCTTAGACTGCGAAAGTTGATCTACTATATCTAGTGAACTGTATCAGAACCTATTCATTCTAAAGCTTGATTTAATCACCTAGGGACATACCAAAAGTTTAGCGACTAGGTAGATTAACAAAGGAGCCGGAGCCTCGAAAGTGGAATGGTTTTATATTCGTGATCTGTGTTCTAGACGGTTCTTAATATCCCAACATCCCTAATCAATTCATCTATCATTGTTTCATTGATCATTGCTTGCTTCTCTGCGATAGCCCCTATGACCTAGCGCTTTTCCTTTATTGATTTACAACCTCGTTATACTTGCTAGTTCGGTTCACCATTACAACCTCAATCATACTTTTGTTTTAGCTTGATCCAAAATCCATAGTTTCAAAGTGTACTCAATAGCCAGTCCTTGTGTTCGATACCCATACTTCCGCGATCTGTGCACTTGCAGAGGTCTAGGAGTTTGGTAAAACCTGACTCCACATCACGATGGACGGTGTTGTGAATAGCTGGGGCGGGGTGGCGGAACATAGATCGGACCTCTTGCAAATCTGTAAAGGAAAGCTTCCTTGTACCTATTCCAAGTTCTGAAAGCGTGTTGGGCATTGAAGTTCACCCATTCTTGAGCTCGTCCAGCTAGTGATAGTTGGAACAATTGTATCTTCTTGGGGTTGTCTCCAAGATCATAGTAGTTGCAAAGTTGCTCAAAGTTGTATAGATGCTCCTTTGCACACTCTGAAGTAAAATCATGGAAAGGGTCTCTCTCCACATGTTTATATAGTTCTTCATTCATGATCTCGGGATGAGGTTGTATGCCTCCCCATTCTTCTTTATCACGCTCCACTTCGATGTGATAAGAGTAGTGGTTGTACTTAGACTTGAAAGGTGGTCTCCTTGCAAATCTCTCCAAGAATGCTTCTCTAAAATCGATCCATGACTCGATTGGAGAAAGCGGTTCATGTTGTGCCCAGTCTAGAGCTGGTCCAGCTAAAGACATGCTGAAAAGCATCATTTTGATCGCGGGATCAGGTCTTCCTTTTCCTATCCCTGATTCTGCAAGTGCACAGGTCAGAAGTAGTAAACGGGTATCGAAGGACCAGATTGCACACTACAAACTATGAGATTGAGATCGAGCTAGGGCAAACAGTATGAGATTGGTTGAGTGCAATGAAAGTAAAGGCATGCAAGTAAAGTAAACAAGTAAAGAAGGTTGAAATCAATAGGAGATGAGGGCTAAGCAATAGGATAGTCTTAAGATAAGCAATTCAAGAAGCAAGGATCGATCGATTAGGGTTATTGTAATTAGGTGCCATCTAGAACTTGAAACACTATGGTATGATCTTTCCACTTTCGTGGCTCCGACCCCTTTGTTAATCTCCTAGTCGCTAAACTTTTGGTATGTCCCTAGGTGATTAAATCAAGCATTAGTTCGAATAAGTTCAATTGTTCACAACCTACAAGTAAATCAACTTTTGCAGTCTAAAAGAGGTTGCCCACCAAATACTAGTTCAGGCGAATGATTCAACACTTTCGAGGCTCAAGCTTTAGATCATATGCTAATTGGCCAGATTAACAACAAGCATTACGTATAAGCAAAGGTGAAGATTAAAGTAAAACCCTAATTCATATCGATCATCAAGCAATCATGAATGCTATCCTTTGACTTCCTATCACTTAACAAGTAAACTACTCAGACATAGAGAAGGAAAACGAATTCATATTCATAAGAACAGAGATCCGAATCCTCTCTTGAAAGAGAACAAGCAAGAACAAAGTAAAAGCAAGCAAAACTTTATTAAAGATGTAAAGTAAATCGTGGTCTCTCTCCTTCTTGAGTTACAAGGCTAAAAAGATGTATTTATATTGCTCTAAGTATAGATGAGCGGCTAGACTTAGGTCTAATAAGTCGGTCGTGTAATTGGGCTTGAAACGTGTGAAACGGGCTTCAAAAACGGCTTCGGGTTTGGGACGTTCGGCCGGCTATCGGGTGATGATCGGCTATCGGCACGGTCGGGTCGATCGTGGCCGAGAGATTCTTCGTTCGTTCGTCGGGTTCGGCCGGACGGATGATTTGGTCGAAGGATTCGGCCGGACGTGGGACGAGGCCTTCCTGGTCGGACGGATGGGTCGTGCATGTGGCACGAGTTGTGCCGCACGGTCGTGAGGCGTTGCCTCCTGCTCGCGCGGTGCGGTCGTGCGCGGCCTACGGTCGCGGGACTACAAATTGGTCGACCGCGGGACGATGCTTCCGGGTCGGTATGTGAGGTCGGCCGTGCGTTCAGGCGGGATGGACGGAGTGTCCGGACGTTGGCCGATCGTGGCACGGATGTTCCTCGGTCGGCCATTCCGCACGGTTTGGACGCCGATTCTCGGTTGGAGCCGTCTGGACCAGTCTTCACTAAATCGATCATAACTCTTTTCTACTCATCCAAATGATGTGAATCCAATTGCGTTGGAAAGTTAACTCACTCAGAGCATGCAATGAAGTGGTCTTGATGAAATCCATTGAGTATATTATTTTTAAGCTCTTCCCAAAGTAGATGCTGTGGCAGTGGACTGGTTTGAAGTCCAAATCCTCTGTTTTGCTCCATAATGCACCTTTTGACCTAAAATGACTCTTTGCACTATAAATCTATAAAAACTACCTTTTAAGACAAGAATCCACTAGAAAACCATTAGAAAATCATTTTAAATAGCGTAAAAAGCAGGGAGAATTGGCAATTTACCCCAGATTGAAAGATTTCTTGTCCCTTTACACCTATTTTGACTTTGGTCATTTTTGTCAAGAATTGCCCTTCAATTTATTATAAACATACAAAATGTTTTTTCAAGTGAAAACAAATTCCATAATTCCTAAAAATGATTTCAGCACTGTGTAAAATATTTGAACATTTTTGAAAATGCTTATGATATTTAAAAAAATATTATAAGTTTCGTTCTACAAATCTAAAATAACAAAGTAGACTACGTTTTCTACAAGATATTCGTTGGTCTAACCTCCGTAGAACATAATATCTACAACTTATACATACCTCTTCCGGATGTAGAAGTTGATATCTACCAAGCCTTATAGGCTCTACCATTTTGTAGAATTCGCACCAAATATATTCTACACAATCAAGTATCTTCTACTACTCGTAGATTTTACGTTCTACGCGAAACACTGCTATCTACAAGAAATAGTTTTCGTATTCTACGTGTTTTTGTCTAATCTACATCCCGCAGAAGTAGTGTTCTACTAAAACCATGTTTTCTACGATCCGTAGTACTCGTGTTTCTAGTACACAATCTAGCAAAATTAGTGTCGTCTACGGTTTTGTAGAATTCATCTTCTGCGAAGATCGAGAAAATATTGCAACTGATATTTTTCAAATCTTTCTTTCCTTTCTTTCTTGTTCGTTTTTTTATTTATTTATTAAAATTTTAATTTTAAAAACGAAAAATGTTAACAAAACATTATCCAATTAAAAGGAAGGGCAAAAATGAGAAAAATGCAAAAAAAAAAGGTAATGGGACAAGACACAAATGTGAAGGTGTAAAGGGACAAAAACACTTTCAATATGGGGTAAATTGCCAATTCTCCCTAAAAAGCATGTAAAATAGAGGTATATCATCTTCACACTTCGATTGTAATCAGGGCAGGCATTGGCATCACTCAGAGCAAGATTCTCAATCAAAAGCTTGGCCTCCGGCACCGACTTGGTCATGAAGTTCCAATTATTTGCAGTATCGAGTGAAAGCTTGTATGTGTGATCAATCCCATTGTAAAAGATGTTCCAAAGGTTACCTTTTGAGAAACCATCGATAAGGCAGTCCCTTGTATATTCCTTGAATCTCTCCAAAGCTTCATAGAAAGACTCCATTGGTGCTTGCTTAAAACCGGATATCTTGCTCCTTATAAAGTTGGATCTTTGCTTTGTGTAGAATTGGTTTAAGAAAGCTCCCTTGTATTCATTCCATGTTGTAATGGACTTAGGTGGTAGAGACTTGACCCATCTAAGCACCTTGTCACTTAGAGAAAAAGTGAACAACTTGCACTTGAAGTAATCCGGAGACACTCCATTGATGCGAGTTGTGCTGCATAACTCCTGAAAGGTGTCGACATGATTAAGAGAATGTTCGGTGGACAAACCATGGAATTGGTTTTGTTTCACCAAGGCAATGATCTGCGGCTTGATCTCAAAGTCGTTCCTTGGAGGTTGAGGTGGTCGGATAGGATTCCGATCCAAGAAGAAAGCATCAGAAGAATCAAAATCTCCCATGGTTTGGTGCCTTGGATGTTGAGCGAGTTGTGCTCTCCTAGGAGTTACTTGAGGTTGAGCTTGAGGCATCCCTTGGTGGTCACCGTGATGATGGTTTTGGTGTCCATTGTTTGAAAACACTGGAGGTGGTTGATGTTGTGGTTGAGGCTGCTAATGCGGTTGATCGACTGCACCGGGAGTGTTTTGATTTGGTTGAGGTACGGCTCCTCCATGTGCTGGATGGTCAGCTCCTTGTGGTATATGAGTGTTGTTAGGTTGTTCCTCCTGGACAGAAGCTCGCTGTTGACCTCCTTGAACCGCGGCATCTCCGGCTTGGTTAATTCTTTCAAGCTGGTCAATGTCAAGATCTTCTTCTATGGTGTTGTTTGGATTGGACCTACTGTCGTTGTTCTATTTCCATATGATCAGATTACTAGATGTACGGTAGAGTAATCATAAATTATGTTCAAGTAAAGGTGAAGATCCATAAGTTAAAATCCCATTTTAATGCAACCCAATCAAATCATCACAGCAACCATAGATCTCCTCGGTCTAACCGAGAGATCTACTCGGCCATGATGCAAACAAGCAAGCAAAGCATGATTGAAAACATTATGAAAGTATAAGTAAGAGGTAAAGGGATAAAGAAATCTTCTCTATTGAAGAAAAAAGGTAGAATTTCCCTTGAAATCTCGATCTCATGACAAAAGGAAAGTAAACTTTGAAAATAAAGAACAAGTGTTGAGCAAGTGCAAGACTTGAGCGGCGCTTCCTTCTTCTCCTCCTAGATGGCAAACTCCTAGGGCTCCTTTCTCTACTTGACGGCCACTCTCCTCTTACACGAGTCTCTCTTTTCTTTGGAGGCTAAAAACATGTATAAATGGGGTGAAAGTTGAGTAGGGTTTTGATGTGCCGGAGAAGGAAAGTTTCCCATGAGACGGGCTTCTTTTCTCACGACGTGAATGGGCCGGTATTGCGCCGAGGAAACATCCAAGAACAATATAGGCCTTTTCTTAGGCGAGCCAAAGCCTATCCGCAGTGGTCCGGGCCGTGGGATGCACCAAATCTTCCCATGGGCTTCATCTTGTCGCGAATCGGACATGTTTCGGTAAAATGGGCGTATCTCCCTGATGGCTGATTACAATGGCTTCATTCCACATCGACGTGATGCATGACTTGAATATCTATCCAGAAATACCAAGATCACCTTTTTTGGACGTCGGGAACACGTCCGTGCACGGCCAAAGTTCTGATACTCTGGTTCTGCCTCATAGCGAGAATCGAACACTTGGAGTTTTGTTGATGCACTTGACTTTGGGAACTTGCATGGAATATGGTTTGAGGCTCTTTTGCTCTTTTTTGTATATTTTTTTATAGTTTAACTTATAAAGTCTTCAAATCCTACAAATACAAGAAAACTACCTCTAAAAAAGCACGAGATCTTATTGAAAATACTTAGAAACATTAATAAATACTAAGTAAAAACATGTAAAATATAGTGATATCAGTTGACTAATCGAAATCCGATTTGAATTAGTCAAAAATACTTTGAGAAATTATTTGTGCAATCAAGAGGTTATGAATAAAACATGCAATTGCATATCGTTCAGGAATAAAATGTGTGTTTTCCCCTAAATAAACGATATTTCTCATTAATCATCAAATGTGAATTAGAAATCATATATATTTGGAGAAGTAAAAGGAAACTTAACCCCTAAACCGGTACCTGACTAGCTAATGGAAACTAAATCATGACATGATATCATCTAATATCTTGTAATTTATATTCCCTCTGTCCCAAATTATAAGCAGTTTGGGACAAAAGTGAGAAATTTTAAAAAAAAAATTATTAAAATATCATTTAAAAAATAGACAAAATATAATCCAACCAATAACCAATGCTGAAGAAAAATTGTATAATCTAATTGGGTACACAATACTCCATAAAGCAAATGTGTATTGGGTAAAGAAGACAGCTTATAATTTGGGACAAATTTTTTTCCCAAAACTACTTAGATTGTGGGACAAAGGAAGTATATTTTATATCGTAGAACATGAAGATAACCAATCAATCTTACAAAAAAAAAAGAAGAGACAACCAACTGTTTGCTGATGTTTATGTGCAATTATGCATACTTGATTATAAATGGATCAATCATCGCAGCCAAAAAAAGGGACTAATCATCACGTGAGACCATATATTAAGTTATATGAACTGGCACCAAATAAAAGATATATTAATATCTACAAATTATTGGGTAATGTCATCTTGAATTTCTTCTAGCGAACGACCTCGAGTCTCTGGTACCATCTTCATCACAAATAGTATGCCCACAGCTGATACTATTGAGTATATGAAAAACACACCTGTAATTTATATACAAAAAATTATTAACTTTGAGTAACTAGTAACTAGAATTACTTGTCTATTTTTCACTACCAAAAAAAAAAAAAAAAAAAAAAAAGCTAAGTAAATTACCATAAGAGCTCCATTGAAAGAGGAAGTTGAATGTGTAAGCGACGAACCAATTGCAGGACCAACTCGTAAGATTACATAGCGTTCCTGCTGATCCTTTTACATTTATCGGTGTCATCTAGTTTTTTCACAGAATAAAATGAATACATAACGACGGGTCGTTAGTTTTATATTTCGATAAGAGTCAATATGATGTTTTACACAAATTGGAAGAAAAAATAAGAGCCAATAGAATGTTAGCACATAATCAATATTCCCAATATACTCTTGGTTTTGACATATAACTATATTATGCGCATAGTGCATATAACACAATTCATAAACTGGGTCAGATCGGAAGGAACAGGCATTGATCTTTGGCATCAACGATGTCGATCTTTCGAGTCTTCTTTTTTTACAACCATTTAATTTATCAAATTCTTATGTTTTTATTTCTGAAAAGTGATGATGTTATATATTTATATGTTTTTTAATTTTTGTTTTGTTTTGATGACCTAATTTAATCTAGTTTATTTACAAAACACATGCCTTCGTTGTTATTTATAATTATTTTATTGTTATTTATAATTATTTTACAATAAAATAAGTAAGCTCTAATTTTCTTTTTAGTCTCTTGTACCACTTTCATATCATTCTGTTTCATGATTCATGTAATGCACATCCAACTTTATATAATAATTTTTTTTTTCTAAAGGGTTGTCTATAATTACAGAAATAATACAGAAATAATTTTGGGTTTTTTATGGACCTATATTGTTTTTTTTTTTGTTGGGTAAAAACCTATATTGTTGTTGTACGTATTAAAACATAACTACTCATCGGGTTAATTACGACTATAGTAAAGACTGACGATTACCTCGGAGACCATGACCCATGGAATACCTCCTATTCCGATTGTGATTGAAATGAAAAAGACCTGCAATTTGAGTTGATTAAAAAAAAAACATGTAATTAAGAAGGAATTTTTTTTATATCTTTTGGAAGATTTGAAATAATTACGTACCAACACTCCGATAAATGTTGAAATGGGGGTGTAACTGCTGAGTAAAGCATGGCTCTGCAGATTAGGTCTAATCGCTTAGTTAATTTTTTTTTTTCAAAAAACAAGCAGAAATAACAGTAATTAACTCGGCCTTAACCATATATATCTTTTTATACTTTTTCACTAATATATTTTATTTTAGGTAAGAAGAAGATACCTGAAATAAAAACGACAATCCTGTGATTAATGACCCCAAACACATTATGGCCGTCGCAAGCTGCAAATTAAGTAATGCACATAAACAAAACGACGTTAATATCTGGATTATCCACTATATTCCATATAGTTTCGTTGATTAACTAAAATCTAAAAGGACGTCAAATAAGCTGTTACCGTTAAAAGGGATCGTCTCCCAAATTTATCTACGATTATTAATCCTATAACGCTCGACACGGACTGCACCATACTCGCTACTGTTACTCCTATGTTGTTAGGAAACCCTGTGAAACAATTAAATTGTATATTAGTTAATTAATATTGATAACTATATTACTTGATTTTTTTTATTAAAAGGCCTTAATTATATTACTTGTTACAAAATAATTATTCTCTGTAAGAGATCTAAATTCAAAATATACCCGATTTGTGAAAAATTGAGCTCATGTAAAATGTATAACCACTTAGACCTCCGAGTTGTTGCAGTACTAGTAATCCAATTCCCACCTAAAAATATACAGAGTATTCAATAACGTGTTTCTTTTCAGAATTTTAAAGTTTAAACTGAATTCATACACTAATGACACGCGAGTATCGTGGTTTGAAGAGCTCAAAAAAACCATCTTCTTTGAATTCTTCTTGAAGATTTTCCATATATTCCTGAGAAAACCTCAAATTCTTTAAAATTTGTAATTGATGAAATAAAGTAATTTCATTTAGTTAGTTCACTATAAAAAAAGTCTATTTCATAAACATTTTCTGTTTACTTTGATTTGTGCAGCCTCTTTGGAGATATCAGTGTTTCTTCCTCGTAGACGTTGGAGTGCAGCTTCCGATTCTTGTACCCGGTTATTTCTAGACTAAAATTACAGAAATGTCAAACTATTGTTCTTATTGTATGTGTTATTAATAAATAATATATGTTAAGTGAATCAATAATAGCTAGAAGACGGATTAATTACCAGCCACCTAGGAGACTCCGGTATAAAGAACAAACCGAAGAATTCTAAAACACAAGGAACCGTACCTGCACAATTCCAAATGGGACAAAAATTAAAATAATTCTTTGTCTCAACTTGGTTTAACTTATACTTCAAACCATAAATATGCGGAGTCCAATTTAATTAAATACTTAAGGGTCCAAATTTTTATGTTACTTATAAGAGCTAGTTTCTGCCACGACATGACTGATCCAACGATGAATGTGATGGAGACGCTAGAACACATCACGAGCTGTCATAAAAAACAACTATAAGATTTTTTTTTTTTAAACTAATAGACGTAAATTGTTTTGCGGTGCATTACCGCGTTAACCGCAGAGAAGGCGCCTCTGACTTGTTTGGGTGCGATTTCTACAATGTAGACTGGTACCTGTAAATTGGGTTATATAAGATTTGGTAGTTAATAGGTTGCTTGGACTGAAAGTTACTAGCCCTAATTATAGTCTGTTAAAATTACGTACCACGTAACAACTTAAGCCAGCTGCAACGCCGAGAAAAAGTCTTCCTATATCAAGGGACCAAGCCACCTTGTATCATGTGTTATCAATACCATTTATAAGAAAAAAATACATAGTTAATTAACGATTCGTCTAACTTTTTTTTATTTGAAAATTTTGATGTCTGACTATACATGACTACAATATCGGTCGTGGAAGGATCATTCAGAGTTATTTTTGGAACATTCAACCGGTTTGACCGTATAAGACAAACAACGTCTATCAATAAAGTTTTTTAAGAATTTGTTAAATATTAATAAAATAAAAATGACTTTTAGAAACCTGAGAGAAGGCGATCATAAGCCAGCCGGCCATGCAAAATGAGTTTGAAACCCACAAAGCCTGCATGCGCATAATCTACCATCAAAAACGCTATTTGTATATCCATTTACGAAAAAAAGAAAAAAAAAAACACTATTTTTATCTTAGAATAATTATATGGGTAAAAGGAAAGCTAATAACATATTTTAAAACTTTTTTTAAAGAAAGAATAACATAATGGAGTTGTAATTTTAGTTATGATGATAAGTTAGTAATTTTTTAATACAGTAGAAACTCTATAAATTAATACTCGATAAATTAATAAAATCTTCCGGTCCCGAGTTGGCTTGCTGTAAAATATGACACAATTCGATAAGATAATAAGATAATAATGTTTTTGAAACTCCTATGTAAATTATGGTCCCAATAATATCATAAATTAATAATCATCATATAAAAAACAAATATATATATAGCCTGTGTTCAAAAAACGGTCAAAACGCCGTTTAAACGGCAGAAAAAAGTGCATCGGACGACCACCGTTCGTTTAATGTAAATCGTGCGGTCCAGATTGGTCAACAGTCAACGACCGTTGAAACAGCGTTTTTCCTTCAAAACGGCATTTTTTTGGCAAATCGTTTGGGCTAAATTTGTTATGTTCTTTACAATTTCGCCCCAAGAGGAGAAAAGCCCATTGTCTTATTAGACAAAAGTCACAAAACTGAACCACGACATCTCAAAATCGATTTGGGATTTTTGTGCAGTCACGAACCCTAATTGATTTCTGAGAATCTTCTACTTCCAAAGCAGAAATTAAAGCCAAATCAAAGAGAATCAAAGTTTTCTACTAACATCATCACCTATGTCAGCTTAATTGGAGGTAATTTTTCCCTTTTAGAATTGATTTCTCTGTTTTGAAAGTTCTAAGTATATTGCTCTTTCTTTCACCTTCTCTTGATAAGATTCTTGATAGTTTGTATTGTAAGTTTGTAACCTATGTTCTTTCTCTTGATTATGTATTGTGTCTCTGTCTAAGATATTTTCGTTTTCTCTTCACAATCTTTCTTTTGGGTTTTTGAAGTTTTTTCTATGAACTGTTTCAGTTTTGTAACGAAATCTTAGATAACTTGATTATGTGTTCTTTTCTCTCTTACAAGCATATATTCAGACATTTGATTACGAAAATGATAACCAAAAGGTGTTTGATGTTTTCGTTAGTGTTAGATTCATTTTAGGACCATGATGCAAAAATTGTTGTTTTAATTGCCTCACCTTGTCATAATGTTCTTTATTCATTGCTGCGCTTGTAAAATGTTATTCATAATCATAACAATGTTATTGACTTATAAGATGGATAAGTCTTTCTCTTTGTTGCGCTTTGTTCCTTTGTACAATGATTCTCTTTGTTTATATGTGCAATGGTTCTCTTTGTTCTCTTGACTTGTTTCTCTTTGTTTCTCTATACAATGGTTTAAGTCTTTCTCATTGCTTCTTTGTTTAGCTTGTGAAATGGTAGCTAGAGAAAAGAAAATAGAGCAAGCAATAGTTCCGGTTCTTACTTCTTGTTTTGTTTGTGTTTTGATGGTTTGGTTAGTGTCTAATGGATGATCCACCGAGAGAGGAGTCTCCTCCACACGCTCTGAAGCGAAATTCTAGTGATATCGGATGGGATTATGGAGTTATGTGTGATCCTACAAATCAAGACAGGCTTCGATGTTTGCTATGTGGGAAAGAAGTAACTGGTGGTGTCTTCAGACTGAAGGAGCACATAGCTCATGTGAAAGGGGAATGTTGCTTCTTGTCGACTGTCAAACAAAGAGGATAAAGAGAAGTGTTTGAAAGTTCTTTTAGAAGTCAAAAGCAAGAAGATTCAGAAGAGAAAGAATGATGCAGCTTTGAGGGCACAAGTTAATATTAACAAGGACAGTGTCGTTGAGGAGGAGCTTGGTCAGCGTAAAGGTCCTCACTTCCAAGGTCCGATGGACAACTTTGCTACAACTATTAACCCTCAAGCAACTTCTGCTGGTCAGAAACGTCAACAGAGTCTCCATGATGCGATTTCAAAGGAAAAAACAAATCAGGTGCATCAGTATTGTGCTCGCTGGATCTACAACTCAAGCATCGCTTTCAATGCCATTGACAATGACGACTTCAGGCTGTTTTGCGAAGCTTTAGGACAGTTTGGTCCTAATTGGCAGCCTCCAAGTCAGCATCAGCTTCGGGAACGACTTCTTATTGAGGAGAAACAAAGGACAAAGGAAAAGCTGAAAGACTTAGAGGAAGAATGGGAGCAGGAAGGATGCTCTGTGATGACTGATGCATGGACTGATATGAGAAGAAGAAGCATCTTTAATCATTGTGTCAACTCAAGATCAGGTACATGTTTTCTTAGTTCACAAGATTGTTCTAAGGAGTCTCACACAGGTCAGTACATCTTCGAGTATATAGATAAGTGCATCGAAGAAGTAGGTCCTCTGAAGGTTGTCCAAGTGGTGACTGATAATGCAACCAATAATGTGGCGGCTTCAAAATTGCTTAAGGAGAAGAGGCCGAATATCTTCTGGTCTGGATGCGCTGCTCACACCATTGATCTGATGCTTGAAGGAATTTCAAAGCTGGATGGGATTGCTAAAATAATAGACCAAGCCAAATCTCTCACAATCTTCATCTACGCTCATCATAGAACCTTGGACATGATGAGATCACATACAAAGAAGGCTGGACATTGTGCGACCAGGAGCAACAAGGTTTGCAACTTGCTTCTTGACTATGCAAAGTCTCTATGAAAAGAAGGGAATGCTGAAGAATATGTTTGGCAGTGAGGAGTGGCTTAAGTGTGTTCTTTCTAAGAGTGTCAAGGGCAAAAACTTCATATGAAACGGTTGTGAGCATCGGATTTTGGAGCAGCATGGCACTTGTCCTGAAAATCTTCAGTCCATTGGTGAAGGTTCTCAGAATCGCAGATGGAGAGAAGATACCCTCACTTGGGTTTATCTATGGTGAGATCTTAGTAGCTAAGAACTCGATCAAGGAAGCTACGGATCAGATAGAGAGGAACTATGAACCAATCATCAAGATTATTGACGAGAAAATGAAAGGCAGGCTGGATACTCCTCTTCATATTGCTGCTTACTTTCTTAATCCATTCTACTTCTACAAGAACACGGGCATATATGATATGGAAGTCATGCAAGCATTCATTTCTTGTGTTGAGACATTCTACTATGGAGACTTTGATAAGCAAAATGAAGTTGTCAATCAAGAGGTTCAGCAATACAGGAACAAGTCGGGTTATTTTGGCATGCCTTTAGCTCAAAAAGGCTGCGAGAAGAATGATGGAAAGTTTGATCCAGGTTTGTTATTTTTTCTTAATTGGTTTTCTTTAAACTTTATTCTTTAACTTTTAGCGAATGATGCATATGTATTTTACTAAATCACAGGACTTTGGTGGTCAACTTATGGTTGTGAAACACCAGTTTTGCAAAAGCTAGCTAAGAGGATTCTTGCTTTGACCTCTAGTTCTTCCGGTTGTGAAAGAAATTGGAGCTGCTTTGGAGCGGTTAGTTTTTTAATATCGCTGTACTCTTTTTATTCTCTTTTACATTGCATAGTCTTTAAATCTTGTGCCAAATTGCAGATTCACACTAAGAAAAGGAATAGACTAGATGTAAGTCGACTAAACAGCCTAGTCTATGTCCAGTTTAATGCAAGATTGTTTAAGAAGCAGAAAAAAATCAGAGAAGGCAAAATTGATATCATATATGATGATGGTAATGAAGACACTTGAAGAATGGCTTGTTGATCACCATGAGAGTAGGTCCAGTTGGAAGTACAACTCAAGCTTCAAGGGTTAGAGCCCTTTACGATGATGATTTTGAATCAGAAGAAGAGGATGGTGGAGACATGGAGTTTGAAGATGATGAAGATCCTGTCTTCCGTGACAATGGTTTCATGGGTACGTTTTCTTTTTGACATCTTCATTGGTTTCATGTTCTGTTTTTTTGTTATTCTTGGATGAGTTTCTCACGGTTTGGTTTTAGTCTTAGAGTTATGAGTTATGGTGTAGTAATGTCTTAGAGTTATGAGTTACGGTTTGGTATGTTTGTTTGTAGTTTCCGAGTTTGATTTGGATAAGAGAGGTTATGGTGTAGACGTGTAGTAATGTCTTCATTATTTTGAGCGGTTTGATTTTGGTGTAGTGATGTTTTAAAGATTTGATGTCTTAAAGATTTGTTGTAGTTATTTAGTTTTGTTTGGACAAGAAAGGTTTTTTTAGTTTTAGTTTTAAAGTCATCGCATGTTTGTTTGTATTGCTTGATTACATGATTTGGTAATCTGCTTTGGTTAACTTCAATTTTTAACACATCTTTTTACATTTGTTTCAGGTTAATAAGTAAATGTTGCCTTGATCTAACACATCTAAGTCTACTAGTCCATTGCACCTTAATTACTTGATCAATGAAGAACAAAAGGATGAAGAACTATAATTCTTTTACTATATTTTTTGTATGTTCTAAATTGATCAAGACAATGTTTTTGGATTTCTATTGTGAATGGAACTATGTAACTTTAATCTTTTGTAATAGATGTGAATTGGCAAAATAACAATATATAATCTTTTTGGAATGTGTTATTGAGTTATATATATGAAAATGTTTGAAAAATATATAAAATATCGTCAAAATTTCATCCCCGTTTAATCTCCGTTTAATTCCCGTTTTTTCAAAAATCTTCAAATCCCGACCCGACCGCCCGATGAATGATTTCCGATATTTTGAACACAGTATATAGCTAAAATATCTAGCTAACAAAATATGAATCTCTCACACACCAAATTGATATGGAAATAAAAAGAAAAATAGAATTTAAAACAATATGATAAGTACGAAAAAATATAAATAATAAAATAAATATAAATATATAAAAATAAAATAAAAATATACTATAAATGAAAGTTCTTATTTAATTTGCATGAAAATTTAAATGATTATAAATATTATTTTTTTATGAATGTTTTTTAGTCAAAACCTATACATTAATAACTCTATAAATTAATAAAATATCAAATAATTTATAAAGTTTCTACTTTCTACCGTACATAAAAATAAAAGAACTTACGCCTCTTCGACCAAAGACATCAGCGAGTCTTCCTGACATCGCGGCTCCCACAAGTCCACCAATTGTTAATACGGATCCAAAGAACGAGAACTGAATCCATATAAGGAACACAAAATATAAATTTTCGTTCTTGAAAAAAATGAAAAGCAAACAACACTTTTCTATTAACAATTAAACACTAACCTCGGCCAGAGAGAGGTTTAATCCTTCCATAATCCCAGCTTGAGCTGGTGATGTAAAGCCGGCCTGCCATAATATAAAATAAAAGAAACAAAATCAGAAGAAACATTTTATTTTCGCTGTCGTGACAGCTGCAAATTTTTATTTCCAATGGTAAATCATTCTATTGGCTTACTGGACCATTTTAAGAGAAACAAAATGAGAAGAAACATTCGTATCATTGAATGAGCAACAATCTTCCAAAATTATTGGAAGATAATGTGATATCTGACCTTTTTACTTGGTAATCATATGTCATAACAACCTACTTAATTTCTGGATGAGGGAAAAAAATGATGCATTTGTTATTTGTTTTCTATATCTTTGTTAACTGTAATAATTTATTGTTACCAGTATATAATCTTGTAACAAGAAAAGTTTCAAACCTCTTGATCCATCGATGGTTTGAGAAGTTATAAGGAATTTCATGGATGTTATAACGTTTTTATTTATTTCTTCAAAAACTTTGGCTGTTTGATAGAATTACATATCTTTTGTTCACTTTCAAGTCAACTAATCAAGTTATAACATATAGTTTTCTTTAAAATTTAAGATAACTCTAGTGGGTTTTCTGTGTTTAACCTAACATGAGTAATAGAAAAAAAAGTAGACAAAAAAAAAAATGAAGATGAAGAAAATTACGGCAGTTCCATAGGAGAAGGTGCCGCAGAGGGCAGTGAAGGTTGTGAAGAGTAAAAGTAGAGTGACGGGACCGTCACCATCGCCATCACTAACAAGAAACCCTTTATTAGATTCAATGTCCTCTTGGATCTTCACTTTCTGAAGCAGTGGTTCTTTCCCCATGGCTGATCAGTGTGAGAGAGAAAAACTGAGATCTTTTTCTTCAAAGAAAAGAGAGAATAAGTACAGAGAGAGAGAAAAAAAAAGAGTTTCGTTGGGGCTTATTCCATTAAATGTGGAATGTCAATGAGAAACGACAGCATTGACGTGCGAGTTTAAGAAAAAAGAAAATGGAAAAATGTATATTTTACTTGATTCTTGGTATATTATAATAACTAGAAATTGACCCGTCCTATGCCGCGGGAAATTGTTATTTCAATTTTTTTCTTTAATAAATATTTGTTTCAAAATATAATTTGTATTTGGGTAAATATAATTGCATATTAGGTTTAAGTTAAATGGGTCATTTAAATAAACCAAGACGAAATTGCAATGGTTCACCTTCTCTCTGCAGGTTTCATCTTATACTAGACTAATGCCCGCGCATACGCGCGGGTTTTGTTGTTGTTAAAAGTTTTTAAAAAATTCGAAAACAATTTTAGATTTGCGATTAATATTATAAAGTATAATCCAATAATATCCATATTTAATTCCTATTTGTTGGTTAGCGACTGACTTTCAAACATATATTTTTGTATCATACCACATGTCTATGAACCATTAACTCTCTTTGTTTACTCACGACCACATAGAACGGACTCTGATTTTCCGCCATCGATTTTTGCTAAATCCATTTCTCCATATATTAGGAGAATTTAGATGTTTAATAATAACTTAAGATGGAAGCCAAATGTAAAAGCTTTGGATTAATAGAGTGATTTTTATTATCATAAGTTGAAATGTATAAGATTTAGAGTTATTGACTGGAAAGAAGAGGAAAAGTCATGCCACAATATCAATTAATGGAGTGTTGATACAACGTGGAAGGTGAAGCAACTGACGGTTTTGAAACCTATTATAACTGTAACGACTAAGAATGCGAAGAGACTGCTCTCTTTAAAAGTTTTGCCACATGTCAATCATATGGAGAGAGTTGGCCTCAATTCATATATATGATTACAATTTCCTTTTCTTTGCTGGTTTTCATCTCCTGCGGATTTGTTTGTTTTAGCTTTGTTCTTATAATATCAGTTATGCATAATATCAGATTTGTTTTGGGAATACATGTTTCTCTGTATTGAAGGTTGTTTTAGAGAAGTCTCGTTTTGAATTTATGTTTATAAAACTTAGAAATAGAGAAATTTTAAGAAATACACCTCTTGAGGTGCAAATTTTTAAAACTACGTGGGAATTTTCAAAAATACATGTTTTCATAATTTTAATATATATGATTGGGTTCACTAATCCTAGATTAGGGTTTAGATTTTGGGGTTTAGGGTTTAGATTTAAGGGTTCAATGTTAGATTTTAGGGTTTTGGATCTATATTTTAGGGTTTAGAGTTTTTTTACTCAATGAAAAAAGTTGAGTTTTGAAAATGAACACCATAAAGGTGTATTTTTGAAAATTGGCACATCAAGAGGTGTAGTTTTGAAATTTCTCCGAAGAAATATAATATAACTTTAGCTTTATATAACTGATTTAACGTTGTATAAAACAGCTTGACCTTTTCACTCAATAGAAGTTTACATTTTCATAAACTTTTTGACAACTTGTAAGCTTTTGATAAATATCTTGGATGATCCAGTTACCCTAGAAAAACAAGAAGATTTTTGAAATACAGTTACCCTAGAAAAAGAAGAAGATAAAAAGAAAATGTAAGAATTTTTTTATTCCTTAACATTCATACCCTTCGTTGGTCACACACTCTTTTTGTGTCAGTCAGCACTTTCTATTGGAGAGCCGTTTCTCTAGACTGAACCTCTATCTGAATCTTGGTCATCTTCTCCAAAACGTCGACATCTCCATCGCTCCCACAGTACTATGTGTTTCTGCGAATTAATGTAGAACTCAATTAAATTATCACATTTGCATTACTTAATATTATAAAACATATCCACGTCATGACTTATATTGGAACTAACTAAAAAGCCCTATTTGAATTGCGTTTGTTTTTCAGTGAATTCAGTTCCCAGTAACAATAAACCAAACCAGATTAAATACGTGACAAGCAAAATCGGAAAAGTTGATGATTGTGATTATTTAAAATGTTCTGATTGGTTGTTGTTTTTTTCTAATGTGCTAGTCTCATGAAGTCTAAAAAGGCTGATGTGTCATGACTTGGAGAGAAACAAGTGGTTTTGTTGTGTTGATTGATTATTTTAGATAAACTATATTTTATATTCTAAAAATTATTTTGTTATTGGTTAAAATGTTTTGAAATTGATGATATATTTTATTTCAAAAAGTACAAGTTAAGCTGTGTGCAAAACCTTAAACCCTTTATGTTATGAAACATGGAATATTAAACTGCGTTTTCTCTCTTAGACTCTTACCACCTACTTCTAATCGTCAAATTAATCCATCATCAAAACCATTATACTGTATAGTATAATATTTCTATTTGTATTTAATTTTCCCTCGATTTGGTTTTTTGATAAAGATTTAATTTTCCCTCGATTCTTGCATCATCTATGATAGTAGCCCACGTCTTCTGTCGAAAATATTTCACAGGAAAAACCTAATATAAACGTATGTAAAACGTGAAGTTAAGCACGTTAGTCTATTGGTTTATTTTACATGAAGGGCTATAGACGCAGTATTTAAACACAAATTAACATGCACAACGAATTCTCTACAGATAAAATATAATACTAAATACTTTTTGAAGATTACTTATTAGTATGATCTTAAATGAAATAATCAACATGATCAAGACAGCAATGACTTGTAGATCTAATACCTCACAGTGTCAAATCTATACATGATATAAGAACCTCACAAGCCATATCTCTATTAATCTAGTTTTCTTACAAGAAATCTACCCAAAATGTTAAAGCTCTAAGTTTATGATTGGCCACATACAATAGCTATTTTAAACATTGTCACTACTACGCATGCTTTTGTCTGATTTTTTTATTAAGATTATAAGAAAGACAATTTGGGAGACACGACTGAGAATGGCAAAAGTTAATTTCATTTGGAAATCATGCCAGACGACATGGAGTCCATATAGGCACCTCACGTTTCCATTATTGTACAATTCAAAAACATTAACTTTTTATAATTATAAATAATATCTGAAAAAGTACAACATTTTGCAAAATAACATCGTAACTATGTTTAGTTTCTTTTTTTCCGGGTGGAACTACATCGGAAATGTGTTATTTTGTATAATTCGTTTAGGTAGTACAACGTAAACTACACCAAACTTAACTACTTTTAGCCGAAATATGCAATTTGAATTGTAATTGATAATTATAAAGACCATACAAATTCCTTTTTTCATAATACATTATCATCTAACAAAGCCTAAGATATCATAATTTGAAGGTGGACTGCATCCTAAATTCATAGTATCTGATAGTCGTTATTATTTTCTCTTACATTTTTTATGAATGTGAAATTTTTTTATACTAATATAAAAAATGATCGATCATGTATAGAGAAGAATGAAAATGTTTGGTACACATATATTATTATTGCATATATAATATGATTGGTATAAAAAATTTATAAACAAAGATATCATAAGATTGCTTAAGAACATGAAGATGACCTGATCAACATTACAGGCAGAAAAAATGTCAGTATCGGCAGAATGTATATACAGCCATTGTTTGAATGTTTAGATACATTTAAATATATAACTTAAGCAAATCATTGGCATTAATAAAATTGTGAATTCTTCATCAAAATCCTATAGTATTTATTCGGACGAATATTGAAGTAATAACATACTTAGGCCCTTTAACAAAAAAAAGTAATAACATAATTCTTTAATCAAGTAACATCCGATATGATGGTTGAATAAGAAATCCAGGGGATGCCAGAAACATTCAAACACGACTTATTTTAATTATTCATTTGAAAAATAGTTTTTGAGATTCTGCAGATTTAGAAATTTTGTAGAATTCATAGATTTAATATTCAAACATGTCGATTTTTTAGTATTATTTCCTGAACTTATATAATTAGAATATAATTAATTTTAATTTGTTATCATTTTATAGAGTATAAAGGGGAAATTATAAAAATACAATTTATGGGGTGTCAATTTTCAGACTACACCTCTAAGGTGTTAATTTTCAAAACTACAATTTTTATTGAGTAAAGAACTTTAAACCATAAAATCTAAAATTTAGAGTATAAAATCGAAACTCCAGACCCTAAATCTAAACCCTAAAACCCAAAATCTAAACCCTAGTCAAGAATTAGTGAACCCAATAAAAGTGCAATTTTGAAAATTTACACCTCAAGAGGTGACGTAGCGGAAACTATGATAAATAAAAAAGATTCTTATTTAGTCTAAGAATACCTAAGAATCTATGGTTCTTGAACTTGAAATCTCTCTTGATCTTCCGAAAAACAAGGATTAGAGAATACTCTTCTCTAAAAACTAAAAACTCTATTTTTATTAATTAAAATCCACTGAAGACAATATTGGCCTTAACGGCTTATTTATAAGAAAACTAAAAACCATGAAAACCCTAATCATAATTAAAATAGAAAATACATTAAATAGAAATAATACATAATATCATATTTAATATATTTATTTAATATACGCTGCATCATGTCTTGTTGGCCTAGACGCCTTATTTATAAGAAAAGTTAAAAACCATGAAAACCCTAATCATGATTAAAATAGAAAGTACATTAAATAGAAATTTTATTATTTAAAGTTGGATGCGCGCTACGTGGTTGTGACACATATGATTTTTATAATTTACAGGATCGCGACATGTGCCATTTTTAATCTTACGTCCGCTAAGATCGTGACACGTGTCTTAAGAATGAAAAAGAACAAAAAATTAAAATTTATATTTTTCATATTCTAACAGAAAAATGTTTCCCATTAATCAAATATATATTATCAAAACATATATTAAATTGAAAATAATGTAATAAATGAAATCATATTACTATATGGAATAGGTATGTAAACTAAAAAATTAAAAGGGAAAAAAGTGGAAAAGGTTATATATTCTAACGCAAAAAGGAAAAAAAATTTTGCAAACCTTAAAGTTGTCATATTCTAATAGAAGAAGGTTTCTCATTCATCAAATTTATATTTTCGAAACATATATTAAATTAAAAATAATGTAATAAATGAAATCATATTAGTATATAGAATAGGTATGTAAACTAAAAAAAGATTAAAAATAAAAGTGAAAAGGGAAAAAGTGAAAAAGGTTATATATTCTAATAGAAAAAGTAAAAAATAATTTTCCTAACTTTATCTTTTAAGATAAAAAGGATCCATATTCTAACGGAAAAATATAAATATCTTTTATGTCTAACGTAAAAAGAAAATAATTTTTGACTGCCTCATATTTTAGGATAAAAGTTTCATACTCTAACGGAAAAATTTAAAAATAATTTTACAAGAGTATATTCAAAGATAAAATAAAAAAGGTTCCATTTCCTAATGGAAAAATAAAAAATAAATATATTCAATGTCTCAACAAGCGCTATATAATAAGTGATAACATCTAAAATTTAATTGTGTGCTTCTATATTTTGTTTTTCTATCTCTAATTGAAACAACCAACACTTTTTTTATAATAAACTTAAACAATTCTAGCGAAAGTCTTTAAAATAAATAACCATTAGAATATAAATATCAAAACAAATAATTCCGTTCAACTGAAGCAAATAAATAATTAAACAAGTCTAACAAAATAATGCAAATAAATAAATCCTATCATCCCCTCTTCAGCCTCGATTTCGCGATCACATAACTTACCTGCAACACATTGGAATGAAGTTGCATAAGTATTTAAGAAATACTTAGTAAGACAATCAACCCTGCCTACAGGTCATTTACGCAATTTACTAGAAATTTCAATAATTATTATAAACTCCAATAATTATTAAATTCCATTTTTCCATTATTAAATAATTCTTAGTGATTAAAACTTCATTTCTCAATTATTAAATAATTCTCGTAATTCAATAATAATTTTCCATATTTAAAATAATTTAATTAATTATTTCAAGCCACTTAATTAATTAAAATACTCATTATTTAATTAATTCCGAAAATACAAGATAACCAGATTAAACCCATTAAAATAATTCAATTAAACCAAAAAAACACTTAATTCAAACAGGAAATCAATTTTCAATCGAACTGGTCGAACCGGTCAGTGTCGACCGACATCAGCTCGGTGTCGACCGACACCTGTTCGACATCAAATTCTGAGAATCAATACCAAAATCACAGCAACACGAAATTAAACATTTAAACAACCAGATATCACGAAAACTCGCAAAAATCACATGAAACCTCAAGAACATCAACCTAACAACCCGCATCTAGCAATTTAGCGAACCACCACTCATGCAAACCTCAGATTCGACGAAGAACTCCACAAGTCTCCAGAAAATCGCCCCTCTCTCTTCTCCAAGGCACAAAACGACAAAAAGGAGGAAGAACTCGACGGCTGGCTTTTTAAATCGCGAGTCTAGGGCTTTTTCCCACTAAACCGGCCCAAACCGAACTTAAATCGAACCAGAAATTTATTTTAACCACTGGTGTCGACCGACACCAAAGAAAAATCACAATTCTTTGGTCTACGGATGTTACAACTCTCCCCCACTAAACTGGATTCGACCTCGAATCCTAACAGAAAACGTCAAGACCACAAAACCCGACCTCGCAAGGCCACAACACCGGAGATCCTCCTGATCCCCGAGACTCACATCAATCTTATGTTATACGCCCGTTTAGACATTTTTACTCTTAACTCATCACCTCAAACCACTTGTACTGGGCCACTACACCCAGACAAGTCTGCACCTACCCAAACTGGGGCCACTTACACCCAGGGCTTGCCAACCGCTGCTTATACTGGGCCACTACACCCAAATAAGTCAGCCACGACTTATACTGAGGCCACTACACTCAGATAAGTCACTCATATTGAGGCCACTGTCTCCAAAACCATAATGAGTTATTCAGATCGCAATCCTTAGAGTAAAAATTCCAAGACGTCTATAACAATAAATTAGAACTCTCACGACCAACTGGTCAAACACTTGTAACATCCGAAATACCATTAAACAACACAAGGCAAAATGAGGAAAACTGCATCTCATTAAAACTCCAAAATGTATATCGTTACAACCAAAACGAAAATACAATAACACCAAAGCCAAAAAAACAACTGAGGCTACAAAGATGAAATAAGCTCACTCCTCGACCTGCTTGTCGAACCACTTCCTGAACTTCAACTTCATCTTTGCCTCTGGCTCCCAAGTCTCCTCTGTAGAACCACTGCAATCCCACAAAATCCTCAGTAAGGGAATCCTCTTGTTCCTCAGAACCTTTTCCCTCCTCTCTAAAATCCTCACAGGCACTGCCGGCACTGTCAAATCTGGCTGAAGATCCTCTGGAATCCTAGCCACTAACTCCTCTGTAGGGTGAAGACACTTCCTCAGCATCGACACATGAAAAACCTTGTGAAAGGCTTTCATAATCTCAGGCAACTCCAGCCTGTAAGCCAATGGCCCAACTCGCTCCACTACTGGAAACGGCCCCATAAAACGCGGACTCAGCTTGTTCTCTGCTATGGATCTGTTAGGACCCCTCAACATAGCCATCTTGAGATAAACTCTATCTCCCACCTGAAACTCAAGCTCTCGTCTGCGTCTATCTGCATAACTCTTCTGCCTATCCTGAGCCTCCTTCATGTTCAGCCTCACAACACGGACCTTCTCTGTCGTCTCCTGAACATAAGTAGCTCCATACATGCTGCGCTCCCCCACTTGGGTCCAGCATAGGGGTGTCCTACATGGCCTCCCATACAAAGCCTCAAATGGAGCCATGCCAATACTCGCCTGAAAGCTGTTGTTGTATGCAAACTCAACTAAGCTCAGGTGATCTGCCCAATGGCCACCCCAATCCAACACACACATCCTCAGCAAATCCTCCAAAGTCTGAATAGTCCTCTCTGACTGACCATCTGTCTGCGGATGATAAGCTGTACTCAGATGCACCTTAGTGCCCATCTCTGCCTGAAACGCCCTCCAAAACTCTGAAGTGAATCTGGGATCACGGTCTGACACAATACTAGCTGGCACTCCATGCAGCCTCACAATCTCTCGCACAAACTTCCTAGCCAAGACAGCAGCTCCATCTGTCTTCTTGATGGCCAAGAAATGTGCAGACTTAGTCAACCGATCCACAATCACCCAGATAGCATCGAAAGTCCTCGAAACAGGTAGTCCAACCACGAAATCCATCGTAATCCTGTCCCACTTCCACTCTGGAATGGGTAAACTCTGCAAAAGACCACCCGGAACCTGATGCTCTGCCTTCACCAAGGCACAAGTGTTGCACTTCGCAACCCAATCTGCTACATCCCTCTTCATCCCGACCCAATGATAGTACCTCTTGAGGTCATGGTACATCTTGGTCGCTCCCGGATGAATGGAAAACTTGCTCGTGAGCCTCTCCCAAAATCTGATGTCTCAACTCCACATCCTTAGGCACACAAACTCGCCCACGAACCAAGATAGTCCCATTCGCAGAGACCTCATACTCAGAACCAGTCACTCTCGTCGCATCCAGCAAACTCTGATCACTCTGCTGAGCAACTCTGATCCTGCTAAGTAGATCCGCCTGATCCACTGCCTCTAAACCCAAAGGCTCCTGCGAAATGGCACACAAACGCAAGGTACTGATCTCGCCAACTAGAGACTCCACATCTCGCTCAACTGCGGAATCATACCTCCGTCTACTCAACGCGTCCGCCACTAGGTTAGCCTTGCCCGGATGGTAGTTAATGCTCACCTGATAGTCCGCCAAGAACTCAACCCAGCGCGTCTGTCTCGCGTTCATCATCGGCTGAGTGAAGATATGCTGCAAACTCTTGTGATCCGTGAAGACCTGTACTGTCTCACCCAGCAAGTAAGACCTCCAAATCTTCAGCGCGAAGATCACTGCTCCCAACTCTAAGTCATGTGTAGGACGGTTACGCTCACTGCCCTGCCACTGTCTCGAAGCATATGCTATCACTCTGCCCTCCTGCATCAGCACACAACCAAGACCAATGCCTGAAGCATCTGTATACACCATGTAAGGCTTCCCTGGCTCGGGTAACGCCAACACTGGTGTAGTAGTCAACATCTCCTTGAGCTGACTAAAGCTCTCCTCACACTCAGCTGACCAAACAAACGGGACATCCTTCCCAGTCAACTTCGTCATCGGCTGCGCCATGGTAGCAAACCCCTTGACGAACCTCCTGTAGTATCCTGCCAAACCCAGAAAACTCCGAATCTCTGTGCACTATGATGATAAGGATTTGTGTATGGGTGTGATGATATGAAATGATGTAATGATATGAGGTGGAATGCAAACAGTGGTAAATGAAGATGAGATGGTATGGTGCAATCACAATCAATCAATTCCTCTTAACCATCATAGTCATTGTAGTATAAGAGGTTATCAATCCAAAAGGGTGAGATGTTGCTCTTTGAATTTATGCAAACACAAGAAAGTCAAGCAGACAGTAAATAAGATGATAAGTAACTCTAGCAACCTAAAGAAATGAAATGCAGGTAAAAGAAAGCAGTAAAGCAAGCAGCTCGACCAAGGACTCGATCGAGTGGGAACAGAGTAACCAAGCTCGATCGAGTTGAGGGTCGAGTTGCGTAAAAACAGCGATAAAGGCAGAACTTTAAAAGCTAATGCGAATATTAGGGTCTAAGACAGGGTCTTACAACTAGGGGAAGACTATACTTAATCAATCTTGCTCTTAAACAACTTGTATCAAGGTATCTCTTGATATTGAGCTTCTCAATGCCTAGCTAGCCCTTTCCCAAGGTGAAAGCTATCATCCAAGGCAAGATCTCAGAAACAGGGGGTTAGCCAGTGAGAATCAAGCCTTGGAGGCAGTAGGATCATTGCTCAAACTAATCCATCCAACACCTATGAACTCCATTTCGAGAGCAAGGTTTATTGGAGCTCTTAGTGGACCTTTTCAAGCGATTTCCCAACACTTCCATGTGGAAAATCGCCTATGACATACAAGCCAGGATAGTGGTCATGTAGCCTTAAGGTTTGTCCAAAAGAGAGAGATTTCTAGATTAAGAACATAAGCAAGAGATTAAGCATAAGATCCTCTAATCTAGCCCATCTTAAACCCTAAAGGAACTACTCACTACACATGAATGAAAACACAATCAAATGCAATGAAAGACATTAAATGAAAGAGGAGATGAAATAAAGAACTTTTATTGAAATAAGCAAGTGCAAATACAAAGAAATAAGCCTAGATCTAAGGTTCAAGAGCAAGAAGCTCAAGAACACAAAGAGAGGCTTAGGTTGCAAAAAGTAAATTACAAAATTAAAGAAAAGCTAAAACAAAAATAAGCTAAAGATTGTTGTCTTTTTCGTGGCTTAGAGCCTTTAAATACAAGAGGATTAGGTTTAGGGTCAAAGGGAAGTCAAGGGGGAAGCAACATTTTTCGGGTTTGACTGTTGACTTCTCAGCTCGATCGAGTTGAACTTGGCCGGTCGAGTTGAGGAACTCGACCGGATGGTCGAGTAGGTGGTCGAGCTGGCTTCAAGATGACTTCCTCCTTCTCCTTGCGTGTGTTGAGCTGCGTCCATGCACCAAGTCCTTCCTTGCTCCTCACGTCCCAAATGCTCCAAAGTGCTCCAAAAGACCTATTTCAAGGACCAAACATGCACATGTATGCAAATGCAACCTAAAACTACTATGAATGCACAAGAAGGGAAAAGGAACAAGATATGATGCTAATGGATGCTAAAACTATGCAAAAGATGCATAAAAGATGTACTAAAACTATGCAAAATGCAAGTACATCACACTACTAGGTCTAGGCCAATCTCTGATAGCCTCAATCTTAGCCGGATCCACAGAAACTCCCTCTACAGAAACAATGTGGCCAAGAAAATCCCATCTCTTGCTGCCAGAAACTGCACTTGCTCAACTTAGCAAAAAGCTTCTGCTCCCGAAGCTTCTCCAGAACCAACCTCAATTGAGTCGCATGCTCCTCATGACTCCTCGAGTAAACCAGAAATTCATCAATAAAGATAATGACAAACACGTCCAAATACTCCCTGAACACGTCGTTCATCAATCTCATGAAGACTGCCGGTGCGTTAGTCAAACCGAAAGGCATAACCAAAAACTCAAAATGCCCATAACGCGTCATGAACGTGATATACCTCTAATTTACCCACTTTTTATACTGTTTTAGCATTGTTTTCTAATGGTTTTTGGCAGGTTTTCTATCTAAAAAGGTAGTTTTACTGTGTTTATAGTGTCTAGAGTCTAAACAGGTGAAATGATGCATTTTGGAGCAAAACCATAGGATTTGCACTTCAAGCCGCTTCAATGGCACAAGCATCAACTTGGATGAGTAGAAAAGGAGTTACAACCAAAAGAGTGAAGACTGTCCAGACGGCTCTATCGAGAATCAGCGCCCAACCGCGCAGTCCGGCTGGCCGAGAAACTAACGTTTCGCGCTCGGCCAAAACCCTGAATCCGTCCGTCCGACGCATATCACGACCCGGGAAACATTGTCCCGCGGTCGGCCAAGCTCGCCCACCCACACGCCGCGCACGACCAAAGCGCGCGAGCCGGGAACAAGCCTCGCGGCCGCGCAACCCTCGCGTACCACGGCCGATGCCCGTCCGAGCCGGGAAGACGCCCCGCGTCCGAGAATTTCATCGGCCAATCTTCATCCGTCCGACCACGGCCGACCGGAATATCCGGCCACGACCGTTCCGACTCGCCCACGACCCGATGTCCGGCCGATCGTCCCGACCGACCGTCCCAACGCCGCGGTCGACCCGAAGCCCGTTTTGAAGCCCGTTTCACATATTTTCAAGCCCGGCTTAACCCTAAGCCGCCTCTAAAGACCTAGCACTATATATATAGATTTTTAGCCTCTTGTGAAAAGAGAGCCGCCCTTGTATTTCGATTTCCTACTCTAAGTTTTATTGCAATCATGTTTTCTTCATCTCTATGTGTGTTTGCTTTGATCATGTCTGAGTAATCCACTAGTTAGGTTGCTAGGGTTACTATTCAATGAGTTGCTTGCATGATCTTTGATTTCAATGATTAGCTAGGGATTATATTAGAGTCTTTGTCTCGTCTTGTGCACTTAACTAATGCTGATTGCTTTACCGCGCATCTAGTAATCCGATCTTAGGTTGATTTGAGCCTCGACAGTGCTGTATCATTCGCCGGACATATTCTTTGACAAGCTAGGTTTCTTAGACTGCGAAAGTTGATCTATCTATATCTAGTGAACTGTATCAGAACCTATTCATTCTAATGCTTGATTTAATCACCTAGGGACATACCAAAAGTTTAGCGACTAGGTAGATTAACAAAGGAGCCGGAGCCTCGAAAGTGGAATGGTTTTATATTCGTGATCTGTGTTCTAGATGGTTCTTAATATCCCAATATCCCTAATCAATTAATCTATCATTGTTTCATTGATCATTGCTTGCTTCTCTGCGATAGCCCCTATGACCTAGCGCTTTTCCTTATTTTTACAACCTCGTTATACTTGCTAGTTCGGTTCACCATTACAACCTCAATCATACTTTTGTTTTAGCTTGATCCAAAATCCATAGTTTCAAAGTGTACTCAATAGCCAGTCCTTGTGTTCGATACCCATACTTCCGCGATCTGTGCACTTGCAGAGGTCTAGGAGTTTGGTAAAACCTGACTCCACATCAAGTTTTTGGCGCCGTTGCCGGGGACTGCAGCAGTACCTTTGGAACTCGACTAGGATCTAGTCTAGAACCTTTTCCTGTTTTGCTTTTCTTTTGCTTTTGAATTTTCAGTTTTTGATTTCCTTTTCTTTGATTTTTGCTTTTGTTTTTGTTTTTCCCTTTTGATTTAACTTGTTTCCAAGACTCTTTTCAGGTGCATGACTAGGAGGTCCAACAAGGACAACCTAGTTGAACATCCAGAGATAGACAAGCTTGAGAAGCAACTTAGGAAGCAAAAGCCCAAGAGATGGCCGACGAAGCAGCTCGCGCTCACGCCGCTGAAGTGGCGCGCGCTCAAGAAGAAGGAAGAGATCCACCTCCTCCTCCTCCTAATCCACAAGACCCTGCTGGAGATGTGAACGCACAACCCAAGCTGGAGCACCTACAATCGGAGACTATGACTCTGCCGATGCTTTCTTCATGGATAGAAACCCTATCCATCCACCACTTCCTGCAAGGAATGACTATGAGATCAAGCCTCAGATCATAGCATTGGTTAGACAGAACCAATTCAATGGACTTCCAGCTGAGCATCCTCTTGATCACATAGAAAACTTTGAAGAAATTTGCAGCACTACAAGATCCAATGGAGTCTCTGCTGACTACCTTAAGTGCAAGCTCTTTTCATTCTCTCTTGGCGACAAAGCTTCAAGATGGTTGAAGTCTCTGCCAGCTCACTCCATTACCACTTGGGATGAGTACAAGGCTGCTTTCATCAACCACTTCTACACCAAGCAAAGATCAATTTCTGTAAGGAACAAGATCTCCAACTTTCGCCAAGCCAACAATGAATCTTTCTATGAGGCGCTAGACCGATTCAAGGAGTACATTAGGGACTGCCCTAATCATGGTTTCAATGAGGGAAACCTATGGAACATCTTCTATCGTGGCATAGACCACAAGTACAAGCTTTCATTGGACACTGCAAGCAATGGAAACTTCATGACCAAGACTGTTGATGAAGCTAAGGTTCTTATTGAGAATCTTGCAGCTAGTGATTGTAACAACTGTCCTGATTATGACCGCTCAAGCCGCACCACTACTAGCTCCCCTGATTCTTTTCAAATGACTGAACTCAAGAACATGATGGCTCAAGTTCTTAAGGGACAGCTCAAGCATATCAATGCAATAGAAGGGATGAGTGATGCTAATGAAGACATCAAGAGAATGCATGGGAGATTTCTCTAATGAAGCCAATGAAGAAGATGTGAACTACATTGGAAACTATGGGAACAAGGGATACAATCCAAGCTATCGCCCAAACCCCAACATGTCTTATAGAAACCCCAATGTGGAGAATCCTCAAGACCAAGTGTATCCTCCAAGGTATCCACAACAACAAAGACCTCCTTACCAATCTCAAGGAAGTCAATTTCAGCCAAGGCAAGGATATGAGCAGAGATCATCATATCCGCCCAAGGAGCCATATGCTTCTTCACCAAATCAAGCTCCTCCAAACCAACAAGGTGGGAGATTTGAAGGAATCCTCCAACAGATCATGGATGGCCAGAAGAGAAACACTAAAGAGATGTATGAGAAGATGGACACTTTGTTCAGCAATCTCAACACCAAGTATGATGCTGTTGCCACTCATGTGAAGAAACTAGAGACTCAAGTCACTCAAACTATGGAAGCTGTTAAGAGACAGGAAGCTGAATCCAAGAAGTCCTTTTGCAACTCAGCCGCCATAGAAGAAAGATTTGAAGACCAAGTTCCAGAATGGATGCTTTCAAAACCTACTGTTGATTGCATGATTTGGCCTGAAGAGAATTACCCAGAGAGAGAGTCCAATCGAGCTAGAAAGAGAAGACTCTTCCCAAAGATTATCCCCAAGACAGATAACTCAGGAAAGTTTGTTGTGCCTTGTATCATCAAAGGTAACATTCTTGAGCAATCTTTGTGTGACACAGGAGCCAATGTGAACATCATGTCTAAGAGGATAGCTGACAAGATAGGCCTCACCAAGATAGAGCCATCATCCATCTCCATCAACTATGCTGATTCATTCTCACAAACCCCTATGGCTTTGTGCCTAATGTGATGGTGCAGATTGGAAATTGCTCTATCCCTACTGATTTCCAGATTGTGGAAATGAGAGAGAGTAGCCATAGACCTCTCATATTTGGAACCCCTTTCCTGTCTACTGTGGGTGCCATATTTGATTTCCCCAATCAAAGAATCTCTTTCAACAAGGTGAACAAGGGTATGTTCTTCCCTATGTGTTCAACAAAGAACTCTTTTGTTGACATGGTCCAAGAGGAGAAAGCTACTTTGAAGCCACCCCAAGAAGGAGAAACTGAAGAAACAATCAAGGAAGATCCCATTCCTAAGCCCAAGCAGCTTGCCAAACAAGCAAGGAGTAAGACTAAGGCCCCTACACCAAAACCGCCCAAGGGATCAACCAAGATTGAAGATGAGGCCAAGCCAAGAAGGAAGGTTAGAAAGCCTAGGTCTGGCCGCAACATGAAGCTTCTATTCCCAAAGGAGCTTATTGATGAGAATCTAGAAGGATTCAAGGAGAAAGTGACAAGAACTCTAAAGCTTTTTCCTAAGGCAGTGTGCCAAGGGACATTCATGGAGAGATTGTCTATCCAGCTGTGAATCACCCACCAGATACTCATTGCAAGGAGAAAAGACTTGGAGGATCAAAGATGCCTCTTGTCTCCATCTTCTCCTGAGCGCCAAGCCTTACAGTCAAGCTAAAGACTTAAAACAAGCGCTGCATGGGAGGCAACCCATGAGGTACTTTTACTTTTCTTTCTTTAAATTTCTTAGTTTTTGTTTTGCTTTTGTGTTTTCTTTGTTTTAAGATAGGATAGAAGGAGAAAAAGGTGTGAAAACACAATCCGCGCCAAACATTGGCCGCGGACGCGCAAAAATTTTGGCCGAGCAATTCCAACCGGCCGACCGTACGGTCGAGCCGGGAAGGAACGGCTGCTCGGCCGGATTTCTATCGCGCGACAAAACCGTTCGCGCGGCACGCACGAACCGGAAGAACGGCCGCGATCGGCCGAATCGTATCGGAACGGACCGACCGTGCCGGTCGATCCGGGAAACAAACGTCGGCCTCGGCCAAATTCTCTCGTCCACGAATTTGGCCGACCAAATCGCTCGACCGCGACAAAATCCATCGGCCATCGGCCCCTTTTCTCGGCCAAGGTAAGTCCCCTTTTCATTAATTCAAACCGGTTTTAACCAATCCTAAACCAACTTAAACCGGTTTTCAATCAAAATTCGAATTTGAAAAGGAAAATTATAGGATTTAGCTTATTTACTTTACCTTTCCCTTGAAAACAACAAGAACCTCTCTTTCTTCTCCAAAACCCTAAACTCCATTAGAGGAACTCTAAGAGCTTTGATTTCAAAACTTTTACTGTTCATAACTCTAAATTGGAATTTACTTGCTCTTGCAACCTTATTCACTTTTCAATACACAAGGTATGTCTTCTAACTCTAATCCTATGTTTATGCAAGATCGAAAATTTCAATAAGTTTCTTGTTTGGTCTAAACTCTTGTCTAAACTTGAAATTACATCCTTATTAGTCTTGTAATGAACTTAGCTAGGTGGAACCTAGGTGGTTTAGAGTTATTTGAAGTTTAATTTCACAATTGAATAGTTTTTCACAAAACTTATTGGGCATTCCAAACCCCTTATTCAAAGGTGAAATTGCTTAGGCATGCTTCAATTCATTAGTTTATCTAGTGATTACTTGGATTAGAAACTCAATTTCTCTTGATTTGCTAAAAATTTCGATTTTAAGCACCATAATCTTGGGATGAACAGTAAAATCCGAAAATTAACTTTGAAAAAGTGAAATTTCCATTTTGTTCTTTGATTCATGATTAAGCCTTGAGTTGTTCCATTATTCCATATCATTATTACAACTCAATTAGCTTATTCTTCTTTTGCATTAATCACAAACTCATATTCTTCCCAAGAATTTGCTCTTGTAGGTACCCAATGGCAAAGACAAAAGGAAATGAGAGTATGAAGAAGAAGAAGAATTCATGCATCAAGAAACAAATCAAGCTAGGGAGTAGTAGCTCCAATGCAAGAGCAGCAATACCAACTTCACCACATTCCATTGATGCAATCAAGAACATGTGGAGAGTCCAAGAAGAGAGAAGATGATTGGGCACTTGTAACTTTGTTGGAGAACAAATCCAAGACCCAAGAAAGTGCAAGAAGGCAATGGAGAAGGTGAACATCGAACCTTGTGTGAAGATGGACACCCAAACCCTTGACCTTCTCAAGATAAGAGATGATGTCACATGGTACATAAGGAAGCTAGGCTTGAGCAAGCTCTTCAAGCTAGAGTGTAGTGAGTACTCAACTCACCAAGGAGTTCCTCTCCACAGTAGCTCTTGCCTTTCCCAACCACAATGGAGACCAACCAGCTGGTGATGGACTCCTACTCTTCAAGATAGGCGATGCCAATGGGCGCATCTCCATCTCAGCTCTATGCCAACTCTTTGGACTTCCCAATGAGACAGCACATGACTTCAAGGAGAACTCAAAGAGGAAACAAGCTGCCTTTGCTGATTGGACACACTTTGCCAATGAACCATTCTTGCCTTCAAGATCAAAGGTGTCTAGAATCACTCATCCAGCCATTCGCTATGTGCACCGCCTCATCTCCACCACTTTCCAATGCAAACAAGAAGCCAACAAGGTCACAACTGATGAGTTCTACATCCTCACCACACCATTCATCAAGCATGAGTACAAGGCCAACCTTGGCTTTTACTTGCCAAGACATTATCAATGTGAGGAAGCTAGCTAAAGACTTGGAAGGCAACAAGAAGCTTTGTGTTCGTTTTGGGAGGCTTATCACGGCCATAGTACAACATGTGGGGATTGACATTCCCAACTATGAGCCACTACCCAAGCCAACCCCTTTGGATCTCCATGCTCTTCAGCACATCCACTTCCTAAACCGTTGGACTAAAGACCCAACTCGGTTTTGCTATGAGTTTCCAATTGGTCCAGCCAACACTTCCCTTGTCTTGCTGCCACATGAAGACATCCCAAGCCTACGCTCAGGTGTTGTCACTTTCCAGCCCAATGAGGAAGACTTCTATGTTCCATCAAGTGAGAAACCATCATTCCCCATGCTCACCTATCGCACACTTCAGCATGCAGTCAAGACTCAACGCCGCCACCAAGAACGCCATGTTCTCACTACTGGCATGGCCGCGCACCAAGCTCTAGACCGTGTTAACAAGCTGGAGAAGATAGTGGAATGCCAATCTCGCTTCATCTCACGCCTAGTTCGTGTAGTTCGCCACATTGCACCGGAGAGACTCTTTCGCCCTTCTTCCACCGCTAGAGAGCCATATGAGCCTGACCTTGGTGAGTTCTCACTAGACTCAGAGCTTGGTTCAGAAGGCGATGACCCCATAGATGAGGAAGAGAGTTCTTCTCACTGCCACACATAGTCATCTCAAGTGGTACTTAGTGCAATGGACACTTACAAATCTCCATTTTCTATCCCTATCTCATTTTAATGAATTTTTCTTTATTTTTCTTTTACTTTGAATATTACCTCTCACCTTAATGTGATTTGCTTTCACCGGGACGGTGCAAGTTAAGTCTGGGGGGAGTTTTATTGTGTTACTAATGCATTTTTCTTTCTTTTCTTATGTTTTATTCACTTTGTTTCATGTTTTTCAAAAAGTTTTATTGAGTCAAAAACCAGTCCGGAAGTTATGAACTTGCTTTGAGAATTGAGAGTGTTGTGCTAACAATCCATGACCCTAGAGCAGAAACCAGCTAAAGGCACAAGCCTAACAGAAGCTCTTACAGTGGATCGACATGCTAGCTCAGCAAAATTTCTAAGGTAACCAAGCAATCTAGAGTTAACCTCACCCTTAATCAATCTTAATACTCTTGTCAAGGGGATTGGCATACATGTCGACAGTTCCTTGCTTGATTTTCAATAAGATTTGTCTAATCTTTAAAGAGTTCTCCTCTCTCTCCCATCCCAAATGGTAAGTAATTTATGAGAAAAAGCTCAAAGAGCACAAGGAAAACAAGTAAGCATGAGGAATGCATATGTCTGTACCTTCATGTCTTATGGAATACCTTAGTCAAACAAGGAACAAGCTAAAGACTTATCCTGTGGTTGAAAGAAGGGTCAATAGAAAAAATAAAATGATACCCTAGAAAAGTAGGGAGAAATTGACCTTTCAAAGTTCTGATGTGAGAAAGAGAGAGGAAAAGAACTCATTGCACTTAAAGACAATCTTGGAGAAGATCAAGTGGGTAAGAACAAGTTCAATTGATCGATGTCCCTTGATAAAGAATTCACGCTTTAAATTTATGCAAGAGGTTAGCAATAGAGAGTTTGGATTGCTGGATGAGACTAGTTGGGTTGGTATTGTTCGCTAAACTTGCAGGGTGTATGTGAAGCTAACCTTATGTTGTCTATGTTCTTAGTGGAATACAGGAAAGGAACCTTTCACAGGATATTCAAAAGAGCAAGGGAGTTTCCACGTTTTCAAACCTCTTTCACGGATTTAGATTCTTTTTGCTTGGGGACAAGCAAAGATCTAAGTCTGGGGGAGTTGATATACCTCTATTTTACATGCTTTTTATACTGTTTTAGTATTGTTTTCTAATGGTTTTTGGCAGGTTTTCTATCTAAAAAGGTAGTTTTACTGTGTTTATAGTGTCTAGAGTCTAAACAGGTGAAATGATGCATTTTGGAGCAAAACCATAGGATTTGCACTTCAAGCCGCTCCATGCACAAGCACCAACTTTAAGAGGGCCCAGAAAAAGATCTACTCAATGGATTTCATCAAGACCAGTTCCCTGCGTGCTCTGATTGAGTTAACTTTCCAACGCAACTGGAACGGCCTCATTTGGATGAGTAGAAAAGGAGTTATCCAAAAGAGTGAAGACTGTCCAGACGGCTCTATCGAGAAAGCGCCCAACCGCGCAGTCCGGCTGGCCGAGGAACGAATGTTCCGCGTCGGCCAAATCCGTCCGTCCGTCCAAAGCCACGGCCGATCATCACGACCCGGGAAACATGTCCCGCGGTCGGCCAAGCCACGTCACGAGCCGCGCACGACCAGCCGCGCGAGCCGGGAAGCAAGCCTCGCGGCCGCGCAACTCTCGCGTACCACGGCCGATGCGCCGTCCGAGCCGGGAAAGCGTCCCACGTCCGGCCGAGAACATCGGCCAAATCTTCATCCGTCCGACCACAGCGGCCGACCACGAATCCATCCGGCCACGACCGTTCCGACTCGGCCCACGACCCGATGTCCGGCCGATCGTCCCGACCGACCGTCCAACGCCGCGGTCGACCCGAAGCCCGTTTTGAAGCCCGTTTCACTATTTTCAAGCCCGGCTTAACCCTAAGCCGCCTCTGAAAGACCTAGCACTATATATATACTTTTTAGCCTCTTGAGAAAGAGAGCCGCCCTTGTATTTCGATTTCCTACTCTAAGTTTTATTGCAATCATGTTTTCTTCATCTCTATGTGTGTTTGCTTTGATCATGTCTGAGTAATCCACTAGTTAGGTTGCTAGGGTTACTATTCAATGAGTTGCTTGCATGATCTTTGATTTCAATGATTAGCTAGGGATTATATTAGAGTCTTTGTCTCGTCTTGTGCACTTAACTAATGCTGATTGCTTTACCGCGCATCTAGTAATCCGATCTTAGGTTGATTTGAGCCTCGACAGTGTTGTATCATTCGCCGGACATATTCTTTGACAAGCTAGGTTTCTTAGACTGCGAAAGTTGATCTACTATAATCTAGTGAACTGTATCAGAACCTATTCATTCTAAAGCTTGATTTAATCACCTAGGGACATACCAAAAGTTTAGCGACTAGGTAGATTAACAAAGGAGCCGGAGCCTCGAAAGTGGAATGGTTTTATATTCGTGATCTGTGTTCTAGACGGTTCTTAATATCCCAATATCCCTAATCAATTCATCTATCATTGTTTCATTGATCATTGCTTGCTTCTCTGCGATAGCCCCTATGACCTAGCGCTTTTCCTTATTGATTTACAACCTCGTTATACTTGCTAGTTCGGTTCACCATTACAACCTCAATCATACTTTTGTTTTAGCTTGATCCAAAATCCATAGTTTCAAAGTGTACTCAATAGCCAGTCCTTGTGTTCGATACCCATACTTCCGCGATCTGTGCACTTGCAGAGGTCTAGGAGTTTGGTAAAACCTGACTCAACATCATTCCTCAACTCGACCGGCCAAGCTTCAACTCGATCGAGCTGAGAAGTCAACAGTCAAACCCGAAAAATGTTGCTTCCCCCTTGACTTCCCTTTGACCCTAAACCTAATCTCCTTTGTATTTAAAGGCTCTAAGCCACGAAAAAGAAAAAACTTTAGCTTACTTTTAGTTTTAGCTTTCTTTAATTTTGTATCTTTACTTTTTAGCAACCCTAAACCTCTCTTTGTGTTCTTGAGCTTCATGCTCCTTGAACCTTAGATCTAGGTTTATTTGCTTTGTATTTGCACTTGCTTATTTCAATAAAAGTTCTTTAGTTTCTTTCCCTCTTTCGTTTAATGTCTATTTCATTGCATTTGATTGTGTTTTCATTCATGTGTAGTGAGTAGTTACCTTTAGGGTCCAAGATGGGCTAGATTAGAGGATCCTTATGCTTAATCTCTTTTGCTTATGTTCTTAATCTAGAAATCTCTCTCTTTTGGACAAACCTTAAGGCTACATGACCACTACCCCTGGCTTGTATGTTCATAGGCGATTTTCCACATGGAAGTGTTGGGAAATCGCTTGAAAAGGTCCACTAAGAGCTCCAATAAACCTTGCTCTCGAAATGGAGTTCATAGGTGTTGGATGGATTAGTTTGAGCAATGATCCTACTGCCTCCAAGGCTTGACTCTCACTGGCTAACCCCCTGTTTCTGAGATCATGTCTTGGATGATAGCTTTCACCTTGGGAAAGGGCTAGCTAGGCATTGAGAAGCTCAATATCAAGAGATACCTTGATACAAGTTGTTTAAGAGCAAGATTGATTAAGTATAGTTTTCCCCTGATTGTAAGACCCTGTCTTAGACCCTAATATTCGCATTAGCTTGTTAAAGTTCCTGCCTTTATCGCTTTTTACGCTAACTCGACCCTCAACTCGACCGAGCTTGGTTACTCTGTTCCCACTCGACTCGAGTCCTTGGTCGAGCTGCTTGCTTTACTGCTTTCCTTACTTTCACATTGCATTTCTTTTCATTAGGTTGTTAGTTGTTACATCCCTCATTTTAATCGTTTGGCTTGACTTTCTTGTGATTGCATATCTCATAGAGTAACATTTCACCCTTTTGGATTGATACCCCTTATACTTCAATGACTATGATGGTTAAGGGAATTGATTGATTGTGATTGTGTTTGCACCATACCATCCCATCTTCATTTACCACTGTTGCATTCCACCTCATTTACATTTCATATCATATCATCACATCACACGCATAAATCCTATCATCAGTTGCTATATAACCGGAACTAGTATTTGGTGACCAACACTTCATTGACTGCGACAGTTGATCTATGTGGGGTTGTGAACAATTGAGATTTGAACGAATTAATGCTTGATTTAATCATCTAGGGACATACCAAAAGTTTAGCGGCTAGATAGATTAACAAAGAGGTTGGAGCCACGACAGTGGAATGATCTTACATCCGTGTTTTGAATTCTAGAAGAATTTGATTGCATAACTTGATATTCTTGAATCTCTGCGAACTTGCCCATTGCATAGAGTCTTTCCCACATTGAACTTACACCGTTTTTACTTTGCTTTCATTTAGTTTAGTTATTTTGCATACCAAAACCCCAATATATTCTTTTGTCCTAGCTAAGTTAAACTTCCATAACTTGTAGTGCACTTATCTGCTCCTTGTATTCGATAACCAGTTACTAAATCTGACATGTGCACTTGAAGAATCAGGGATAGGAATAGGTAAAACCTGATCCCGCATCACAGCCTTACTAGTCGGACTCCCTTCAGTTCAAACTCTCTAGAACTTCACCACCGCCACCGAGCAGACTAACCCGCCATGAATCCACCACCGTCAAACCACTGTGAAGAGAGGAGGAGAAGGAAAACGGCACACACAAGCTTGAGGAAGCTTCACCGGACCCTGTCCTTAACGGATTTGGCTTTGCAGAGCTTTCCACCGGAGAACCACCACCCCCTCTATTACATCCGTAACTCAAAGAATTGAGATTTTTGTTTGGTGTCGAGCGACACCAGGGAGAGTGTGTCGGGCGACACCAGTCCGAAATTGCAATTCCCGGTTTGATTTGAGTGACCAGTATAGGTCTGGAGCTGAAAACTTGAAAAGAGAGATTCAAAGGAGATTGTTGGTGTTTGGGTATCATCCTTGAGGCTGTTCGTCGTCAATTTGGGCTGGAGATCGTGCTAGTGATTGCTCTGTTGTGTTCTTCGCCACTGTTCATGATCACCTCCGTTTTTCCCTTTTTAAATCAAAATTCAAGGTGAATGTGTGACTGTAGACCGGTGAGTGCTAGGATTGTTAGTTTATGCTTGGTTGGGTGTTATTTTGTGATCATATTGATGTTTGATTGTGTTTATTTGAGTTATTTTGTTGATTTCACGTTTCAGCACTGTTCGTTGTTTCTGTTTCTTTGATCTGCGAGTTAGTGTTGGGGGACACCAGGGTGTGAGTGTCGACCGACACCAAGCTGGTGTCGCTCGACACACTCTGTTCCCTGCGTTTTATGAGATTGTTTTATTATTTATTTTTTTAAGGTAATTTCTTAGTATTTGTGTAATTGGCATGTAGACAGGATGACCGTCTCACTAAGTATATATGATTATAGTTACGCATCTCTTTCGTAATGTGATGCATGTAAAAGAAATGTTGATTGCGGAATCAAGGTGGAAGAAGGGGATGATAAGATTTTCTTTGCTTTTATTTAAATTGCTAGAACGTGGTGTTTAGGTTGCTAGTTTTACTTATTCTGAATTATTTGTTGAATTGATTGATTATTTTATTTAATTAATTTATTGGTTTCAAGACTTGTGCTGAGTATTGATGTGAGTAGGTTTTACCAAATCTTTAGACCTCTGCAAGTGCACAGATCGCGGAAGTATGGGTATCGAACACAAGGACTGGCTATTGAGTACACTTTGAAACTATGGATTTTGGATCAAGCTAAAACAAAAGTATGATTGGAGGTTGTAATTGTAACTAAACTAGCAAGTAAACGAGGTTGTAAATCAATGGTGGAAGAAGCGCTAGGTCAACAGGGGCTAATCGCAGAGAAGCAAGCAATGATCAATGAAACAATGATAGATGAATTGATTAGGGATATTGGGATATTAAAAACCGTCTAGAACACAGATCACGAATATAAAACCATTCCACTTTCGAGGCTCCGGTTCCTTTGTTAATCTACCTAGTCGCTAAACTTTTGGTATGTCCCTAGGTGATTAAATCAAGCATTAGATGAGCGGGTTCTGATACAGTTCACTAGGTTATAGTAAATCAACTTTCGCAGTCTAAGAAACCTAGCTTGTCAAAGAATATGTCCGGCGAATGATACAACACTTTCGAGGCTCAAATCAACCTAAGATCGGATTACTAGATGCGCGGTAAAGCAATCAGCATTAGTTAAGTGCACAAGACGAGACAAAGACTCTAAGATAATCCCTAGCTAAACATCGAAATCAAAGATCATGCAAGCAACTCATTGATTAGTAACCCTAGCAACCTAACTAGTGGATTACTCAGACATGATCGAAGCAATAACACTTGGCGGGATGGCGCGGATGTTGTGCGCGGGACAATCGCGGTACGTTAGTTCCTCGATCGGCCGGTGTGCGCGGTTTAGAAGGCGAATGCTCGATAAAGCCGTCTGGACCAGTCTTCACTAATTTAATCATAACTTCATTTCTACTCATCCAAATGATGCCAAACTACTTGCGTTGGAAAGTTAACTCACTCAGAGCATGCACGGAAGTGGTCTTGATGAAATCCATTGAGTAGATCTTTTTCTCGGCCTTCTCAAAGTTGATGCTTCGGTATGGAGCAGCTTGAAGCGCCAATCCTATGGTTTTGCTCCAAAATGCATCATTTCACCTGTTTAGACTCTAAGTACTATAAATCCAATAAAACTACCTATTTAGATAGAAAACCTGCCAAAAACCATTAGAAAACCATACTAAAATAATATAAAAATCATGTAAAATAGAGGTATATCAACTCCCCCAGACTTAGATATGATGTCTGCTCTAGGGTCATAGATTGTTAGCACAACACTATCAAATCTCAAAGCAAGTTCATAATTTATGGACTAGTTTTGACTCAATAAAACAAGAAAACATGAAATGAAACAAATAAAACATAAGAAAAGAAAGAAAAATGCACTAGTACACAATAAAACTCCCCCCAGACTTAACTTGCACCGTCCCGGTGAAAGCAAATCACATTAAGGTGAGAGGTAATATTTAAAGTAAAAGAAAATAAAAGGAAATTCATTAAAATTAGATAGGGATAGAAAATGGAGAGTTGTAAGTGTCCATTGCATTGATTACCACTTGAGATGACTATGTGTGGCGGTGGGAAGAACTCTCTTCCTCTTCTATGGGGCCATCGCCTTCTGAACCAAGCTCTGAGTCTAGTGAGAACTCACCAAGGTCAGGCTCATATGGTTTTCTAGCAGTGAGAGAAGGGCGAAAGAGTCTCTCCGGTGCAATGTGGCGGACTACACGAACTAAGCGTGAAATGAAACGTGATTGGCACTCCACAATCTTCTCCAGCTTGCTCACACGGTCTAGGGCCTGATTCGCTGCCATTCCAGTGCTGAGAACATGGCGTTCTTGGTGGCGGCGTTGAGCTTTGACTGTGCGCTGAAGTGTGCGATATGTGAGGATGGGGAGTGATGGTTTCTCTCTTGATGGGATGTAGAAGTCTTCCTCCTTGGGCTGGAAAGTGACAACACCAGAGCGTAGGCTTGGGATGTCCTCATGTGGCAGCAAGACAATCAAAGTGTTGGTTGGTCCAATTGGGAACTCATAGCAAAATTTGGTTGGATTTTGAGTCCAACGGTTTAGGAAGTGGATTTGCTGAAGGTCATGGAGATCCAATGGAATTGGGTTGGGTAGTGGCTCATAGTTGGGAATGGTGATTCCCACATGTTGCACTATGGCTGTGATGAGTCTCCCAAATCGCACACAAAGCTTCTTGTTGTTTTCCAAGTCTTTAGCTAGATGCCTCACATTGATGAGTGTCTTTGCAAACAAAAGACCAAGGTTGGCCTTGTGATCATGCTTGATGAATAGCGTGGTGAGGATGTAGAACTCATCAGTTGTGACTTTGTTGCCTTCTTGCTTGCATTGAAAGGTGCTTGAGATGAAGCGATGCACATAGCGAATTGTTGGATGAGTGATTCTAGAGCGACTGTGGAGAGGAACTCCTTGGTGAGTAATGAGTACTCGCTGCACTCTAGCTTGAAAAGCTTGCTCAAGCCTAGCTTCCTTAGTACCATGTACATCATCTCTTATCTTGAGAAGATCAAGGGTTGGGTGTCCATCTTCACACAAGGTTCGATGTTCACCTTCTCCATTGCCTTCTTGTACCTTGGGTCTTGGATTTTTTCTCCAACAAAGGTTACAAGTGCCCAATCATCTTCTCCTCTTGGACTCTCCACATGTTCTTGATTTGCATCAATGGAATGTGGTGAAGTTGGTTGCTGCTCTTGCATTGGAGCTACTCCCTAGCTTGATTTGTTTCTTTGGTGGTTGCATGAATGGATCTTTCTTCTTCATACTCTCATTCCTTTTGTCCTTGCCATTGGGTACCTACAAGAGCAAATTCTTGGGAAGAAATATGAGTTTGTGATTAATGCAAAGAAAGATAAGCTAATTGAGTTGCAATAATGATATAAAGAACAACTCAAGGCTTAATCATATCAAAGAAAAAATGGAAATTTCACTTTTCAAATTAATTTCGGATTTTACTGTTCATCCCAAGATTATGGTGCATAAAATCAAAATTTTTAGCAAATCAAGAGAAATTGAGTTTCTAATCCAAGTAATCACTAGATAAACTAATGAATTGAAGCATGACTAAGCAATTTCACCTTTGAATAAGGGGTTTGGAATGCCCAATAAGTTTTGTGAAAAACTATTCAATTGTGAAATTAAACTCTAAATTAACTCTAAACCACCTAGGTTCCACCTAGCAAAGACTCATAAGAATGGTAATTTCAAGTTTAGACAAGAGTTTAGACCAAACAAGAAACTTATTGAAATTTCGATCTTGCATAAACATAGGATTAGAGTTAGAAGACATACCTTGTGTATTGAAAAGTGAATATGGAGAAAGAGCAAGCAAATTCCAAGTTTAGAGTTATGAACAGTAAAAGTTTTGAAACAAAGCTTTTAGAGTTCCTCTAATGGAGTTTAGGGTTTTGGAGAAGAAAGAGAGGTTCTTGTTTTTTCAAGGGAAAGGTAAAGTTATAAAGCTCAAATCCAATTATAATTTTCCTTTTCAAATTCGAATTTAGATTGAAAATCGGTTTAAATCGGTTTAGGATTGGTTAAAACCGGTTTGAATTAATGAAAAGGGGACTTACCTTGGCCGAGAAAAGTTTGGGCCGATGGCCGATGATTTTCGCGATCGTGCGGCGATTTGGTCGGCCAAATTCGCGAGAGAAATTTGGCCGAGGCCGAGCGTTTGTTTCCCGGATCGACCGGCACGGTCGGTCCGTTCCGATACATTTGGCCGAGCGCGGCCTTTCTTCCTGTCCGTGCGTGCGCCGGACGGTTTGTCGCGCAAGTCATCCGGCCGAGCATGGCCGTTCCTTCCCGGCTCGACCGGCGGTCGGCCCGATGGAAATTTCTCGGCCAAATTTCTTTTGCGCGTCCGCGGCCAATGTTTTGGCCGGATTGTGTTTTCACACCTTTTTCTCCTTCTATCCTATCTTAAAACAAAGAAAACACAAAAGCAAAACAAAAACTAAGAAATTAAAGAAAGAAAAGTAAAAGTACCTCATGGGTTGCCTCCCATGCAGCGCTTGTTTTAAGTCTTTAGCTTGACTGTAAGGCTTGGCGCTCAGGAGAAGATGGAGACAGAGGCATCCTTGATCCTCCAAGTCTTTTCTCCTTGCAATGAGTATCTGGTGGGTGATTCACAGCTGGATAGACAATCTCTCCATGAATGTCCCTTGGCACACTGCCTTAGGAAAAAGCTTGTAGAGTTCTTGTCAACTTTCTCCTTGAATCCTTCTAGATTCTCATCAATAAGCTCCTTTGGGAATAGAAGCTTCATGTTGCGGCCAGACCTAGGTTTTCTAACCTTCCTTCTTGGCTTGGCCTCATCTTCAATCTTGGTTGATCCCTTGGGCGGTTTTGGTGTAGGGGCCTTAGTCTTACTCCTTGCTTGTGGCAAGCTGCTTGGGCTTAGGAATGGGATCTTCCTTGATTGTCTTCAGTTTCTCCTTCTTGGGGTGGCTTCAAAGTAGCTTTCTCCTCTTGGACCATGTCAACAAAAGAGTTCTTTGTTGAACACATAGGGAAGAACATACCCTTGTTCACCTTGTTGAAAGAGATTCTTTGATTGGGGAAATCAAATATGGCACCCACAGTAGACAGGAAAGGGGTTCCAAATATGAGAGGTCTATGGCTACTCTCTCTCATTTCCACAATCTGAAATCGTAGGGATAGAGCAATTTCCAATCTGCACCATCACATTAGGCACAAAGCCATAGGGGTTTGTGAGAATGAATCAGCATAGTTGATGGAGATGGATGATGGCTGATCTTGGTGAGGCCTATCTTGTCAGCTATCCTCTTAGACATGATGTTCACATTGGCTCCTGTGTCACACAAAGATTGCTCAAGAATGTTACCTTTGATGATACAAGGCACAACAAACTTTCCTGAGTTATCAGTCTTGGGGATAATCTTTGGGAAGAGTCTTCTCTTTCTAGCTCGATTGGACTCTCTCTCTGGGTAATTCTCTTCAGGCCAAATCATGCAATCAACAGTAGGTTTTGAAAGCATCCATTCTGGAACTTGATCTTCAAATCTTTCTTCTATGGCGGCTGAGTTGCAAAAGGACTTCTTGGATTCAGCTTCCTGTCTCTTAACAGCTTCCATAGTTTGGTGACTTGAGTCTCTAGTTTCTTCACATGAGTGGCAACAGCATCATACTTGGTGTTGAGATTGCTGAACAAAGTGTCCATCTTCTCATACATCTCTTTATTCCTTTTCTGGCCATCCATGATCTGTTGGAGGATTCCTTCAAATCTTCCACCTTGTTGGTTTGGAGGAGCTTGATTTGGTGAAGAAGCATATGGCTCCTTGGGCGGATATGATGATCTCTGCTCATATCCTTGCCTTGGCTGAAATTGACTTCCTTGAGATTGGTAAGGAGGTCTTTGTTGTTGTGGATACCTTGGAGGATACACTTGGTCTTGAGGATTCTCCACATTGGGGTTTCTATAAGACATGTTGGGGTTTGGGCGATAGCTTGGATTGTATCCCTTGTTCCCATAGTTTCCAATGTAGTTCACATCTTCTTCATTGGCTTCATTAGAGAAATCTCCCATGCATTCTCTTGATGGGTCTTCATTAGCATCACTCATCCCTTCTATTGCATTGATATGCTTGAGCTGTCCCTTAAGAACTTGAGCCATCATGTTCTTGAGTTCAGTCATTTGAAAAGAATCAGGGGAGCTAGTAGTGGTGCGGCTTGAGCGGTCATAATCAGGACAGTTGTTACAATCACTAGCTGCAAGATTCTCAATAAGAACCTTAGCTTCATCAACAGTCTTGGTCATGAAGTTTCCATTGCTTGCAGTATCCAATGAAAGCTTGTACTTGTGGTCTATGCCACGATAGAAGATGTTCCATAGGTTTCCCTCATTGAAACCATGATTAGGGCAGTCCCTAATGTACTCCTTGAATCGGTCTAGCGCCTCATAGAAAGATTCATTGTTGGCTTGGCGAAAGTTGGAGATCTTGTTCCTTACAGAAATTGATCTTTGCTTGGTGTAGAAGTGGTTGATGAAAGCGCCTTGTACTCATCCCAAGTGGTGATGGAGTGAGCTGGCAGAGACTTCAACCATCTTGAAGCTTTGTCGCCAAGAGAGAATGAAAAGAGCTTGCACTTCAAGTAGTCAGCAGAGACTCCATTGGATCTTGTAGTGCTGCAAATTTCTTCAAAGTTTTCTATGTGATCAAGAGGATGCTCAGCTGGAAGGCCATTGAATTGGTTCTGTCTAACCAATGCTATGATCTGAGGCTTGATCTCATAGTCATTCCTTGCAGGAAGTGGTGGATGGATAGGGTTTCTATCCGGTTCGCGCGGCGCCAGTCACCGGTGAGGCAAGTAAAGTTTAGATCTGAATAAACTGCACCGTCGTATTTGAGCCTTTGTATTTTTAGTTTTATATCAATTTCTAGTTAAAATATAAGGATAAATCATACATTGGAAGTATTATTCGATTATAAATTTAATGTTGGTTATTTATGATTTATTATCTTTAATATTTATGTTTTATTGCAGTTTTACAATCGTGTGTGTATTCTTAATCTTTCTTTATCAAAAATTTATAGCTTAGATTTTGTCTCAAATTATTAACACATATAACTTTATTGAGTTTTGTTATCCTTATTAAAAAATCAAAATGAAATTAAGGAATAGAAAAAAATACAGAGTATAAACTCGAACAAACAAAACTGCCATGTAATCAATCAAACACTTCTTCATCAAAATATTTGCTGAAAATGATTCAAAATATAAACTTTTGAGTTATTTTTTTGGTTATGAATAACACTAGATTTAATAACGTATTTAATATTTTTTAACTATTTAATTAAAAATATGAAGAATGTTATACTAATATTATATCCAGTCAAACTAGATTTTAATGCATACTAGTTAAGAACCCAACAATTAAATAACATTGGATTTAAACTCTATTAAACTCATAACTGAATACCATTATATTTGAACTAACATTTAAAAATCATTAAACTGATAACACGATTTTTTTATCCAGTAACCCTTTATTTTGTTTGGATATATAAATGGAAAATTTCAATGAATAACCATATTAAGACAAGAATTAAGGGAATGACAATTATTTGGTGAATTTAGCTTATATTGTTTTTCTAATAATACCATTATAGTCTTTTTTGTAAATCCAAAAAAATATTATGAGATATTCTTTTTCTCTCTCGCTCGACTCTCTCCAACTTCTCTCTTCTCTCTGATCAATGTTCTCTGCTTTGATTACACCTATTTCTTTTCGAAGACTTATGAGTCTAAACAAAACTGAGATTATTTATGTCAGTAAGATCAATTGGCAATTGCTATGATTTTTCTCATATATATTCTTCTTTTCAATTTTATGATTTGTGCTGTATCTACATCATTGGTATTGATGTGTTCTTTAAAACAATGTCACCGACAAAGAATCGACCACAGTATTGGCGGGTAAATTCGTCAAAAACAGTTTCTCTATAAGGGCAAAACCGTCAAAAATCTATTTTTCTTTGTTATTGTCTTAGTTTCTAATTTATCATGGCTATATTCTTAATTTTCATTCCCAGTATTGTTATTCACTTAATTAACCCTATATAAATCAAATAAAATGTATAAACCAACAATCTCATCTTAGTTTTCCAAAAATTGAAAAATATATATCCTTAGTCATGAACCAATATAATCTGTAAAAAGGACTTGTATGAACCAATTGACTCGTGATTAATGTAAAAATTATGAATATTTAATTATTCCATATAATTATGAATTAACTAATAAGCGAGACCCATATATTATAATATAATGATTTTGACACCAATCTATATATATAAAACACAGTTGGGGTCTCTTCTGGGAGCGCCACGTCAGCAAACTCTCTTTTAAACAATGCTCTTCCAATTCTCTTTTAAGACTAATAATTTATTACATCTATCACTTAATCATAATAGAATTTGAAAAGTCATTTTGTATAAGAAAATATTTTTATATATTGATCTAAATAAATTCTAATTTAATAATTTTAGTTTTATCAAATAGATTTTAATAATCTATATATATAAAACACAGTTGGGGTCTCTTCTGGGAGCGCCACGTCAGCAAACTCTCTTTTAAACAATGCTCTTCCAATTCTCTTTTAAGACTAATAATTTATTACATCTATCACTTAATCATAATAGAATTTGAAAAGTCATTTTGTATAAGAAAATATTTTTATATATTGATCTAAATAAATTCTAATTTAATAATTTTAGTTTTATCAAATAGATTTTAATAATTTAACAATAATAATAATAATAAAAAAATGAATGGAATGACGCAAAACTGTATGATAACGAGACGGGAAGAAACAAGATGAGTCGAAAATGAATTTGACGAGGCAAAATGGGATAGAAAAGAAAGGGACATGATGGAACAAGACATGAAGAAACAAGATAAGGCAGAATGGAAAGAAATGAACGAGACAAGGCAAAACGGTATGTGAATGAATAGGACAGGGAGGAACGAGACGGAAAGGAAATGTACATGATGAGGAAAAATGAGATGAGAATGAATGAGACGGTGCAAAATGGGACAAGGCGGAAACGAGAAGGAATAAACAGGACGGGACATAACGAGGCCAAAATTATACCCGACAAGGCAGAACGAGACGGGAAGAAAGGGATGGGGCAATACGAGACGGGAAAAAACAGAACGAGGAGGAACGGGGAGGGAAATAGGACAGGGAGGAACGAGATGGGAAATAGAACGGGATAGGAGGTAAATTTTGCCTACCTCTTATTATATTTAGAGACGGGACAAGACAAGACAGGAAAAAACATAATGAGACAGGATGGGACTAGACGGGATGGATATGACGGAAAGGACGGGATGAAAAGAAACATAATGGAACGGAAAAAAGTGAATTTAGCATATCCCTAATTATATTTAGGGACATGACGGAAAAAAACGGAAAGAACGGGATGGAACAGTCAGTCTCAGACATGATGGGATTGCACGTGACGATACGGACATGGCGAATGGGACGGGAAAGAACGGACATGATAAAAGGAACAAAATGGGAGGAATGAGAAATGATGGTTCAAAATTTTTGCGTAAACTTAATTATATTTAATTTTCGGAAATTTTTGAGTAACCCTAATTATATTTGATTAATATGTGTATGACATTTTTAAAATAATAATAAATCATAGAATTAAATTAAATTTATGAAAAATAATAAAATCAACACAACAATTTCAATTCCCGCGCGAAGCGCGGGTCACCCCTAGTTAAGAAATATAATACTGAAAATTGACAAAGTTATCGGGTAATGGCAGCTTGAATTTCTTCGAGTGAACGACCTCGAGTCTCTGGTACCATTTTCACCACAAATAGGATGCCCATACCAGAGATTATTGAATACATAAAAAACACACCTAGGATTTAAATACCAACAAATTATTAATTTAATGAATAATTAGTAACTAAATTTATTTAATTATTTGTAAAAATAAAGTGAATTACCTGAAGAGCTCCATTGAAAGAGGAAGTTGAATGTGTAAGCGACGAACCAATTGCAGGACCAGCTCGTTAGATTGCATAGCGTCCCTGATGATCCTTTAATATTTATTGGTGTCATCTAATTTTCCCACAAAATAAAATATAAAAAGCACAAAATTAAGAACGGCAGGTTTACACTTAGGAAAAATTCCATAAAAATACATCAACTAAATTTCGGAAAGCTTTTTTAATACCCTAACTATTTTTGTGCCCACAACAACAATACCCCAACTATTTTGAACAAGTTATGAAGCATGCTAATTGTGAACAAGTTATGAAGCATGCTAATTGTGTATTTTGAAGTTATGATTTTTTTTTAGTTTTTGGGAACTTGTACTTTTATTAAAGAATGATTTTCTTTTTCTGTCAAAAACATACTACTAAATTTTTAAATAATTTTCTTTTGGATTTTCGGAGATTTTATGAAAATTTTCTGGGAATTTTTCGAAATTTAATTTAATTTTTATTTAAATATTAATATTTAGTTATTAAAAATATAAAAAGATAACAGAAGTTAAGTTTTTGTTAGACCGAATGTGTTAAATGGGTATGGTTTTAAAAGTTTAGGTATTAAAATAGACAAACATAGTTGGGTTATTGTTCTGGTTACAAAAATAGTTGGGGTATTAAAAAGCTTTTCAAAATTTAGTTGAGGTATTTTTATGGAATTTCCCTTTATACTTATGTGGTAATTAAATTATTAAATGATAACACATGTGGAATATTCCCAAACATACAGATCATCTAGTCTTTTATGTTTTCGAAAATCAATTGGACTACATACATGTTTACATAAATGCATTGTTTAAGTATATCATCTAGTTTTTGTTTACAAAAACTATTCATCTAGTTACGATGATATTAAAAACAAACGATTACCTCGGAGACGATGATCCACGGAATACCTGCGATTCCGATTGTGGTCGAAATGAAGAAAATCTGCATTTAGAGTTGGTTAAATCATCTGAAAAGATATAAGTATATCTATACATACATAAACGTAGTTCACAAGAAAATGATTTAAAGAAGTTTTCTTTTTGATAAACTTTGGGACGGAAGGACATTGTTACGTACCAACATTCCGATGAATGTTGAAATCGGGGTGTAGGTGTGGAGTAAAGCATAGCTCTGCAAAATAATTTTGCTCCAATTATGCTAAATAAAATAAAAATAAACATAATTTAACCATATATCTTCTTATTTCATTAAAATATATTTTTTGCAAATAATAAACCTGCAACAAAAAGGATAATCCTGTGATTAATGACCCCAAACACATCATGGCCGTCGCAACCTGCAAAAGAAAACGAAGTTAACTTCTGATTTATCGACTATATGCTCTATAATTTTCTTAACAAACAATATTAAAACAAAACAAAAATAAACAAACAAATGAACGAAAATTCTATAGTTTCATATTTAAAATTAGCTATAACCGTTAAAAGGGATCGTCGCCCATAATTATCCACAATTATTAATCCAAAAATGCTCATTATGGACTGCACCACTGTTGCTATTGATACTCCTAGGTCGTTAGGAAATCCTGTTAAACAATAAAATTGCATATTAATTTCTTTTATTGATCATTATACTGTTCTTTAATATAATTATCTTGTTAAGTAAGAAACTTAAGTATAAAGTATATACCCGCTTTGTTAAATATCGAGCTCATGTAAAATGTATAGCCACTGAGACCTCCAAGTTGTTGTAATACTAGCAATCCAATTGCCACCTAAAGATATACAAAGTATTCAGTAACGCTACTTTAATTACAAAACTTATAACTTCAATTGAACGCTTACGGTAACGGTACGGAAATATCGTGGCTTAAAGAGCTCAAAGAATCCATCTTCTTTGAATTCTTGAAGATTGTCCATATATTTCTGAAAAACAAACAATTTTTTTATAAGTTGTACTAACGAAATTTTAATACCAATGTTACTACATTTTTCTTAGAAACAAATAACTACCTTGATTTCTGAAGCCTCTTTGGTGACATCAGTACTTTTTCCTCGTAAACGTTGGAGTGCAGCTTCCGATTCTTTTACACGACCATTTTTACACTATAAATTACAATCATACCAAACTATTAGTACTACTTAAAACTTGTTTAATTTACATTTTTTTCCTTAATATGTTCTGTATATGTATGTTACGTTAATTAATGCTAAATACAAGACTAATTAATTACCAGCCACCTGGGAGACTCCGGTATAAAGAATAAACCGGCGAATTCTAAAACACAGGGAATAGTACCTGCACAAGTCCAAATGCAAAAACAATTTTGTGTCAGTTTGATTTAGATTACAGTTAAAATAATAATAACATGGTTTTAAATTTAATTTACAAGTTTATACAATATATTCATAGGCAATAATCCAAAAATTTATGTTACATAGGAAAGCTAATTTCTGCCATGAAATGACTGATCCAACGAGGAATGTGGAGGAGATACTAGCACACATCACGAGCTGTAAGAAAAAAGAAAGAAAAACTATAAGAAAATTTAAAATATATTAATACTACAATTAGTTAATCTTTTGCAATATAATTACCGAACTAATTGCAGAGAGAACGCCTCTAATTTTTCTGGGTGCGATTTCTACGATGTAGACGGGTACCTGTTAATCAAGATTAATTCTGGTTAAGTTATCGGTTGCTTGAAACTTAAAGTCACTAAGCCTAATTATCCGTCATTCTCTTCTCTTAGATGACGTACCACGTAAGAAGTTACGCCAGATGCGACCCCAATAAAAAATCTTCCGGTATCAAGGGACCAAGTTCCCTAAAGTAATATTGTAAACACCGTTTGTGAAGAACAATAAATAATTAATTAGCTATTATTATAAGCTTTTGATTTTAAACTTGAAAAAGATAATTTGTTTTTATCTACGTTAATGCCATGCGTAGAAAGTCCGGTACCAGATTTATTTTAACATTTTACTTGTTGAAATAACACCATATGATAATAATAATCTGGTAGACTGGTACCGGACTTTCTACGCATGGCATTGAGATATTGAAAAGATATAACGAAACCTGCGCGAAGGCGATCATAAGCCACCCGGCCATGCAAAACGAGTTTGACACCCACAAAGCCTGCATGCACATAATCATTTTTTTGTTAAAGGGCTTTGCATGCACATAATCATATATCGTTCAGCCAAACGTTATTTATTTTACTTGGAATATACTGTTTTATAAGCCTGCATGATGATAAACAGTAACTTGTTTTAAAATCTTATATATATGTATGGATAAAAATAAAAAAGCTTACGCCTCTTCGACCAAAAACATCGGCGAGTCTTCCTGACATTGCGGCTCCCACAAGTCCACCAATTGTTAATACGGATGCAAAGAATGAGAACTGCGTCCATCATACAGCGGCTCAATTAGTTTTTTTATTAACGTAAATTACTACTAGAAGAATTACATATATTTGAAGTAGAGTTGGCCAGCTGGGTACATATAAGTTATTATTCGACCAAAAAGAAAATGTTGATTATAATTCAAAACAAAAAGAAAACATATATTTGAAGTAGAGTTGGCTAGGTGGGTACATATATGGGTAAAAATAATATGATCTGATCCATTAAATTTAATTATCTGGAGTAAGATAAAAAAAAAATGGTTATCTGTTTTCAGATTGGGTTTGATCAGATCTCATATTTTTTATTTAGGGTTTTGTGAAAAAAAAACCTCAAACTAAATTATATTTGCAAGAAAAACTCTCATGTCAAAAAATGCAAGTTAATCTATCCATCTAAAAAGTCACATGCAATATAGTCATCGTCTATATTGATGACATGACATTAACAAATCTCTTTTCTATAAAAAAAAAGAGTTTGTACTTAAAAAACCCCCAAACTAAATTATTTACAAAAGAACCCTCACATCAAAAATACTAGTCAATCCGTCCAGCTCAAAATTGTCCGCAATATAACTTTTGTCATCACGTAATACTCAATCATTGGATTTCAACCAAACTTTTCACAATGTACCCTGACGACTTAACTTTACAATACACTTAAAATTATTCAATTTGGCTATAAGTAGATCAAAAGATATTACGATTTTAGTAAGGATCGATATAGAATAATCGAAAAATAGAGTATTAATATATTTAAAATGCAAATTTGCAATGTGAAAAGTATAATTATCAAAAGTTTTAGAATATTTAATTTAATTTAGAATTTTAAAATAAAAAATTTTAATGTTAAATCAAATAAAAAAATATTAATATTTCATCAATGAAAGCCTCTATTGAGTTTCTCACGAAGACACAGTTTGTACTCCCTCCATTTCATAATAAGTGTCATTTTAGACGTATTTTTTTTAAATAAGTGTCTTTTTAGGTTTCCAATGCATAATTATCTATAAATTTCCAGTTTTAACCTTATTCATCTAATCAATAAACAAAGAAAAAAAATTAATTTAGTGTATTAATTAAGGGTATTGTAGAAAATTTAATATGTGTGTATGAACCTTAAATGACACTTATTATTTATAATTTTAAAATAAAACATTTAAATTTTAAATTAAATAAAAAAATATTAATATTACATCAATGAAAGCCTCTATTGAGTTTCTCACGAAGACAAAATTTGTACTCCCTCTATTTCATAATAAGTGTCGTTTTAGACGTTCTTTTTTTAAAATAAGTGTCATTTTAGATGTTTTTTTTAATAAGTGTCGTTTTAGGTTTCCAATGCATAATTATCTATAAATTTCCAGTTTTAACCTTATTCATCTAATCAATTAACAAAGAAAAAAAATTAATTTAGTGTATTAATTAAGGGTATTGTAGAAATTTTAATATGTCTGTAAGAACCTTAAATGACACTTATTATGAGACATAAGGAGTAATGAATTCCTTACATTTTATTAGATCAATAATATAATATTTGTTATTGATACAAGCAAAATTTATATTGCCGATAACTTTTGAGCTGGGTGGATTGACTTGTACTAGTTTAGTTTGATGTTTTTTTTGCACACGTTTTTTTTTTTTTTTATAAAGAGTTTCGATAATGCCACGTCATTAATATATATGAGGATTATATTGCGGGTGACTTATTTTGAAGTGGGTAGATTGACTTACATTTTTTTTACTTGAGGGTTTTGTTTTGCAAAAAAATAATTTAGTCTGAAGTTTTTTTTTTGCACAAAACCCTTTTATTTACTTCAATTTACTATTCCCTCTATTTTGTTTTAGTTTACATTGTATGGTTAATATTTTGTTACACATTAAGTGTCGTTTTAGTTTTTTAATGTAGACTAATGATATATTTCAAACTTTATTTTTATTAATTTAGCTTATTAATTACTTTTATCAAACAAAACAATGTACTATATTAAACGTGGATAAATCATAAAACTTAATTATTTTCTTAATCTTAGCAAAAGAACACAAATGGTACTCCCTATGTTTTATAATAAGTGTTATTTCGACATTTTCCACACAAATTAAGAAATGAAGTTAAAATTATTTTTACTCTTAAACTACTAAGATAATTTCAATTTTTTTATTAGATTTGGAAATATTTAACCCCAACTTTAAAAAGTCAAATTGATAATTGTACGAAAAGTTACTTTAAACAAACGTAATTGGGGGTTGGGAAGTACACTTGACATTATTAAACATATTTCACGATTTTGGTTGTAATATTTGATCATTTAAATTTGAGGTTAAAAAATGAATGTTTTGTCAAAAGTTATATGGAATTTGCAAACGACACTCTTTGTGTAATAAGAAAAAGTATCAAAATGACACTTATTATAAAAGGAGCGAGTAGTATCTTAAATGAAATAGATTGAGCATAACTGAATAACTAATGTAAGAACGGCTGAACCCTATTATATTTTTGTATTTATAATTGTATGATTTCTCTAGTTTTATGGGATTATATTCCATTTTCATATATTTCTTTCATTAAATGTGTCAGGTTGAATAATTAGTTCTTATTTGCATTCGATTATGAAGAAGGGGTTAATAAAAGAGAAATTTGGGAAATACTCTTTGATGAGTTTTTAATTTGAAAACTACCCTTGTTTTTTTTTAGTTTTGAAAAATACACTTTTTATATATGAAATGACTTAATTATCTAATTTGAAGTTTTCAACTAATTTAATAAAAACGAAATTCAAATAAGAAATATAAAATATTAAGATTTGATTATGATTTTGTTTCATTTTAAAATACTAAACAATACCCTAATTATCTGTTTAGATTTTATTAAAAATTCTTTAAAAATATAAGGTTGTTTATATAAAGTTTAAATGAGGGTGAGATTAAAATTGTTATATAAAGTTTCAAAAATATTTAAATGTATGTATAAAAGGTAAACATTAAAAATGGAAGATAGATTTATCCACATTTAAAAAATTTAATAGTTTATAAAGTTTAAATATATGTAAAGTTTGAATTTATAAAGTTTAATTTGGGTGGAATGAGATGATATTAAATTTGTTTATATAAACTTCTAAAAATATTAAAATTTGTTTAAAGAAAACATTAAAAATGGAATATAGATTTATCCACTTTTATATTTTTAAAATTTTATGTTTATCTGAAAAAAAAATCTTATTATTTTTGAATTTCGTTTTTAATTTGTAATTGTAGTTATTTGTTAACGTTTTGTTTAAATTAGGTCAAAACAGTCTTTTTACATTCGAAAGTGTATTTTTCAAAACAGAAAAAAATGTTTTTTTCAAAGAATCCCCTTAATAAAATATAGGAGATCAACAGATAAAATAAGAATTCAACAATAACCTCGGCCAACGAGAGGTTTAGTCCTTCCATAATCCCGGCTTGAGCTGGTGATGTAAAGCCGGCCTGCCAAAAAGTAAAAATATATATATAAGCCAAAACATTTTTTTTTCTCATATTAGCTAGAGAGTTTGAACATATCAGGCATTTCAGATCATAATGAAAGCATATAACATTGATTTAGAATATATTTTATGGAGTATAATATATAAATGACACAAGTCTATTAATTCACTGTTAACTGATTTGGAGTTAAAAGCCGAATATTTCTAAGATTATATCTAGTAGGAGATAAAGATAATCAGGAGAAAAAAAGTAGCTTTTGAAAATCATGTTTTTGTCTTGAGAAAGTAAATTTATATAAATCTTGTTAATAAGACAAAATAACAAATTAAGTTATAACATATAGTTACGTCAATCTTAGCTCTTTACGTACTCTTATCAAATAACAGGTGTTAACCTAGCTTTAACAAAAAAAAATAAAAAATAAAAAATAAAAAATAAAAAATACAGGTGTTAACCTACATTGAGAGAAAAACAAAATATAGAAAAAGTGTAGAGGGGAGAAGATTACGGCAGTGCCATAAGAGAACATGCCCCAGAGAATAGTGAAGGTTGTGAAGAGTAAAACAAAAGTGACGGGACCGTCGCCATCTTCATCATTGATACGAATACCCTTATATGATTCAATGTCCTCTTGGATCTTCACTTTCTGAAGTAGTGGTTCCTTTCCCATGGCTGATCAGTGTGAGAAAGAAAAAAAAGAGAAAAGAGAAGTTTTTGTTTTCTTTTTTTCTTCAAAGAACAGAACAATTAAGGAGAGCGAGAGAAAGAGAAACGACAGATGTGATTAGAAGGAAATTTGTATAAATAATCTTAAGAATTAATGCAATTTGAAACTTATTGAACTTTTTATTTATATATTTCGGGTCTCCCCCAATAAAACTATATTAATGAACTAATGAAGGAACCAACACTCCCACAGTTGTCATAAAAAAATAAAATAAACCCATATGAATAACATGTTTTTTCGGATCTACGACTACATGACCACCTCGATCGAATGGTAATAGGTTATTATTAACTGACTTGGTTAGAATTTGTTATATATATAAAAACAACCGACTTGGTTAACTTAGAATATTCAAACGATTGCGTAGGATATACTTCCTCCCTTATTTGTTTAAGATGAATTTTCTAGATATTATTTGTTGTTTCACAAAGATAAAATTTCTAGCTTTTTGATGTACTTTTTCAGTTCTCAAGAAACATTAATTATATTTATTGGACTTTTATTGGTTAAGAATTATAAAAAGTTGTTTTATTGCAAAAATTTATGCATTAGAGATTGAAAATCAGTTTTTCCTTAATATGTGTAAAAACTAAAATTCATCTTAAAAAAACGGAGAAATATTCTCAAAGGAAAAAAGAAAAAAAGAAAAAAAGAAAAAACAGAAACCAACGTGGTGGAAAAATGCATAGTGATGATGCCTCTATGATTACGCATGCTTTTGTAGGATTTTTTTTAACAAAAAGAAAAAGAATGT